CACTCGCTCTCAGCTCCACCTTCGGACGAGTCCGTAGAGCCGAGTGGCCCGTATCCAGAGCTTGTGGGCTGCCTCATGTACCTGATGACTTGCACACGACCTGACCTCGCATACCCTCTCAGCCTTCTGGCTCGCTACGTGGCTCCCGGCAGGCACCGAAAGGTGCACTGGGATGCTGCGAAGAGGGTGTTGCGATACTTGTGCAGTACATCGGGCATGGGGCTCGTGCTTGGAGGACGGGCTCGAGTTGTCCTCACTGGTCACGCTGACGCCTCCTGGGTTGACGACTTGGCTACTCAGCGGTCGTCACAGGGTTACACCTTCAGCCTTGGCTCCGGTTCTGTCTCCTGGCGGTCTACCCGCTCTTCTTCTGTTCTCAGCTCCAGTTGCGAGGCTGAGATCTTCGCTGGGGCCATGGCTGCACAGGAGCTTCGCTGGCTCACCTACCTGCTGACCGACTTGGGGGAGGCGCCTCGTTCTCCTCCAGTTCTGTACGTCGACAACAAGGCCATGCTGGCCTTGTATCAGGAGCACAGACTGGAGCACAGAACGAAGCACATTGCTCTGCGTTACTTCCTTGCTCGAGAGTTGCAGCAGCGTGGCCAGCTTCGTCTTGCTTACGTGGCCTCTCAGGCCAACACTGCTGATGTTTTCACCAAGGCACTTCAGCCTTGTGATCATCAGCGTTTCTGTACTGTGTTAGGCCTTGTACCTACTGTGCCTCACTTGTTGACTTCTTGACTCTGCTTGTACTGTACTCTATATACTTCTACCTGCATGCTTACACTTGCTAGGTTGTGTTCACTGTATTGTTTGCTTTCCTTTATATAACTCTGCATGTGAACTGGCCTTCTGGCCCTTTGCTTGTGCTCAGACTGTGTGGTGACTTTGTGATCCACCCTGAGCTTGCTTTGCTTTTCTTGACTGGTCTTGTGACCTCTTGTTCTCCCCCACTTTGCCTATGGGGGTGTGTCAAACTTATATCTGCTATGGTCTATTTAGGCTGTAGTGGGGTAGCTCTTAGAGGGTACAATACTTATGTGTTTCCTATTTGTACCCATCTCATTTCTAGTTCATTCATTCTTTCGTCTATCTTTCTCACAAGAAGATTTCACGTGGGACGAATCTGCAGTCGGCGCTGACGACGACGTGCAAAACGCCGAGGAAGGTTGGCGCGCTGAGGGCGACGCCGGCGCCGAGGGTGGCACTTAGGCCGACACCGAGGCCGCTACTGAGGCCGGCACTGCTGAGGATGTGTTTCCCGAGGGTGCGCCGGGCGGTGACGACGACGACGGCGTCGAATACTGGTCACGCGATGGCCTCCCCGAGAAACTCCCGATACCAACTTATCCTCCACGTAATCAAAAGAGACCCCACCCTTCTTCACAGAACCGTGATTCTTGCCCCCCCTCTCCCAGGCACAAGCCCAACGACCACAAGCGTCAGGCCTATACTGCCGCCGAGAAGTTGAAGTGGGTCGCGCAGCTGGATGTGGCGGTGTCGGTGCGCGCTCTGGCTCGCGAGAGTGGCATCCACCGCAAGTGCCTCGCCAACTGGAAGCGTGCCGCTGATTTCCTCAAGGAAGCCCACTCTGCCAGGAAACGCATGCACGGTCGCGGCAGGGCGTCGTGGTACCGCCCGATGGAGATCAAGGTGTATGAGCGACTGCTCGACTGGCGACGCAAGGGAACCGCAATGTCCATCGGCCGCCTGCGGGAGTGGTCCCGGGAGTTCATGAAGATTCTCTACCCCCTCGTGAAGTGGAAAGGGAGCCAACGGTGGTCGGACCGGTTCCGTCGGCGGTGGAATCTCAGCGTGCGAATGAAGACGAAGGTCGCCCAGAAAACCGCCGCCCGTAAGAATCATTTTTATTCTCTATGCCATGTGTATGCACTTGTTACTCACTAACCGTAACTGTGCTCAACCGCAGATGCCGCGGAGCAATGCAAGAAGTTCTGGCAATTCGTCCGTGACAAGCGTCGGAAGCGCGGCATCGAGACGACGTGGATTATCAACGCCGACCAGACGCCGCAGTGGCTGGAGATGCCCGCCACCACTACCGTCGATCAAACCGGTGTTCGGTCGGTGCCCATCAGGAGCGTGGGGTACCAGAAGGAGCGCGTGACCGTGATGTTGGCGTGCACGGCGGACGGGATGAAGCTGAAGCCGTGGGTTTTTTTCAAGCGGAAGACCGTGCCGAAAGGAGTGTTCCCGCCGGGTCAGTCATGATTCTTGTTTGTATGCTTTTCACCGGTCTTGTTTTTTAAGAGAAACTTACAGAAGCTTCTTTGTTATGCAGATGTGGTCGTGGCGTGTCACGAGAACGAATGGATGGACGCGGAAGGCGTCATACGATGGCTTGAGGAGAGCGTCAAGCCCTTTTTAAAGCCTGGGTTCGGAAGGCATGCGCGGAGCTCGATGGTCGTACTGGACTCGTACCGCGGTCACCTCACTGAGGGGGTGAAGGAGAAGTTTCGCGAGCTCAACTGCGTGCCGGCGATCATCCCGTCTGGCTGCACGGCGGAGGTACAGCCCTTCGACGTCTCCATCAACAAGAGCTTTAAGGCGAGCGTCTGCCAGCAGTATCAGAAGTGGTTTCAGGAAGAAGGCCAAGAACAGCTAACCAGAGCAGGTACGGTAGCCACGCGAGTCCCTATCTTACCGTAGATGATTGTCCCCCCTTTTGTTGCGCTAACTAGATATTGTGTGATTCTGTTGGTACAGGGAACTTGAAGAGGCCACCCCCAGAGGTGGTCGTGAGGTGGATCTCACGGGCCTGGAAAGCAGTGCCCGCCGACCGCATCAAGCGCGCCTTCCTCACCTGTGGCATCAGCAACGCGCTTGACGGCAGTGAGGACGGCCTCGCCATGGCGCACAGGCGGAGCCAGCTGACCGCGGAGGTGGACGTCGATGATTCCATCATCGCCGATGGCTTCTTTGGCAACAACTGCCTGGAGCCCGAATCCGACGAGTAGATTTTCTAGGTAGAAATGCTAAACTTAGCAATTTCTAGTTTAGTGTCAGTGTTAGTGTCTATAAAACTGTCAGTGGTGTTGTAGGTGAAAATTTATCATGCTCATGTTTAGTGTTAATTGTTGATGTTCATATTTTGGAATGAAACCTCCACAACGTGAAAGGGGTGCGCTTATAATAAGTACACCCTCCAGAGGGGGGGTGCTTATAATCGAGTTCCGGCCATAAGCGCCATGCTCCAGATAGAAGCGCCGGCGCCCTTAATCGGACGGCGCCTATATCCGGGGCCATACGGTAGGCCCTGACTATAAGTGTGACAACTACGGGTACAAGTGGGAGAAGTGGTGTACAAAAATCGTGAGAACTACCTACAAGTGGGACTCCGGCTCCTTTAATCAGTGACAGTTTTTCTTTTGCTGTGGGCACTGTTTGGATACTGGTTGTGGGAATCTTGAACTGGTCGCAGTGATATAGTAACCCCAAATACAAGTCCCACTCCCCATGGCATGGCAAATACAGTAACAATCAGTGTATCAACCAACATCGAATATCCCGTATCGTTACGGGTGCAATGGGCAGCTACACGTGTGCGTTGAGTAAACTATAACTTTTGAGGCGCCTCAAAAGATGAGCCCCTGATAGCAGCATGTATGTGTTGTGTAGTGTAAGCTAGTACGGCTTGAAACGATCCTTCCCCTTTCCTTTCCGCTTGCTCCCCTTCACCCCTGCGCCCTCCAACCCCTCTCCCCCCTCTTGCTCCTCAATCCCCTCCCATTGGCACAAGCACCCATTCTCCCCTCCTGTCCAAAAAGCCACAGCCATCCCACCAGACACAGAAGCATGAGGGGCCGGCAGTGCCAATCTCACCACATCCCTCACCACACCCGAATGAGGCCCTGATAGCAGCATGTGTGTGTTATGTAGTATACGCTAGTACGGCTTGAAACGATCCTTCCCCTTTCCTTTCCGCTTGCTCCCCTTCACCCCTTCGCCCTCCACCCCCTCCTCCTGCCCCTCGATCCCCTCCCATTGGCACAAGCACCCATCCTCCCCTCCTGTCCAAAAAGCCACAGCCATTCCACCAGACACAGAAGCATGAGGGGCTGGCAGTGCCAATCTCACCACATCCCTCACCACCCCCGAATGAGCCCCGGATAAGAGCATGTCCGGGCTGCTGACCTGGCAGCTGCCAGGTGGCATGCTCGTGCTGCTGCCATGTGGATGCTCTGTCATCATTGCATCATCATTATCATCATCGTTATGAGTATCAACAGCAGTGGCAGAGGGTCCCGAGGGGTGGGATGGATTCGTGAGGCTTGAGGGGAGGGAGATGGGGAAGGAAGCTGCATCCCCGAGGTGGGAGCCTGCAAAGAGGCGGAGGCAGGGGGTGGGCGAGGGGGTGTAGTCACAGGCAATCAGATAATCAACCTGTATGGGCAGTAGGGGAGAGAGAGAAGGTGGGGGAGGGACAGAGGGTGGGGGGGAGGGAGATGGGGAAGAAGGCTGCATCACTTAGGTGGGAGCCGGCAAAGAGGCGGAGGCAGGGGGTGGGCGAGAGGGAATAGTCACAGGCAACCAGATAATCCACCTGCATGGGCAGTGGGGGAGAGAGAGAGGGAGGGCGGGAGGGAGATGGGGAAGGAGGCGGCATGCCACAAATGACAAGTGGAAACCGGCAAAGAGGCGGAGGGTGGGGGGGGAGGGTGGGCGAGGGGGAATAGACACATGGTATCAGAGAATCCACCCGAAGCGAAGAGAAAGGAAGGGATGGTGAGAGAAGTCAGAGTTTGGAGGAGAATGAGAACAATTAGGAGGAGGATACGAGGGGGAGGAGGTTGACAGAGCGTGAGGGGTTACAGGCCAAGAAGACGACAAAGAATATATAGAAGAATCAGCACAGAGCACCAGGAAGCACGAGGGAACATAGGTGCAATAGGCCCTTGACTCGGGCTTGAGATGCGAGGGATGTCTCGAATCTCAGCACCTGAACTTGGATTTAGACGTGCCAAGGGAAAGAGAACACTCACAGGGGCTTGCAGGGGCCACTTTTCAGAGAGAGTTGACCGAATGTCGTCAAAAGACGAAATGGTATCGCCGGTCCAGACGTCCCAGAGGCTGGTGGGGGGATAGAGGAGGGGAGGAGAGGAACGGAAGAGGGGGTGAGAGCGAGTAGGGGGAGGAGGGCGAGAGGGGAGGAAAGGAGATGAGGACAAGAAATGGAGGGAAATTGAGAGGAGGAGGAGGAGGAGGGGAGAGGAAGGTGGGGCAAGGGGAGGCGGGAGGGGGCAGCAAGGAGGAGGATTCTGATATTCTTGAGTCGACTCAAAAGTCAACTCGGGACGATAAAAAAAAACATAGGTTTACCGGTTCAGAAGTCTGAGATGAGAACCAAGTTGGAAACCAACAGGGGGGAAGGACGTGGGGACAGGTTAGAGAAAGGAGAATCGAATCCACAGCGGTATAAAAGGGAGAGGAAGAGATCACACGAGAGAATGTACGGGAGAAAGGGGAAGTGAAAAGGCGAAGTGAAGCCTTTCCATATTCTGTAAAGATGTTCCGATACTACCCACCCACCTACCTGAGAGTCTCAACGCTAGTGAGGCACCAAAGAGCAGAGGCAGACGGGCCAAAGAAGCCAATGCGAGAGATGGATGTGCCAGGGCTTATTACCTGCTTAGGGAAAGGCAAGGAGGGTTGAGGAGGGAGGGATGGGGAAGAGGGGAGGACGGCCACAAGAGGGAAACAAAAGGAAAGGGGGTGCTTGGGGTGTGTTCATGGGAAAAGTCGTCTGATGAGGCATCTTTTCCAATACTGACTCAGATTTAAGTAGCGCTCAGCTGATGGAGCGAAGGCAGGTTCTCTAGTTGGAGGAAGGGTCTCTGGTCAATGCTTCCTATGTGAATTCTCGTTTCGTAGAAGCGAGGGATGACTATCTGAGTGGCTCTCATATACTGTAAATTGATTGATGCATCAAGTTTGACTGCTCTGTTGATCATTGTTGACCCCACTGTGCAACCAGATGCTCGACTAGACTGACAGACTCTGGGTGGAAGGATTTTAGCGTGTTTTTATCCAGCTTCTGATCTAGAGGACTGGGTTTAGGGTTTCGGGTTTAAGCTCCATTAACGCCCTTGACACCATCTTATATTCTGCAGTCATAGACATAGGAAGCGTTGACCAGAGACCCTTTCTCCAACGAGAGAACTTGCCTTTGCTCCATCAACTGAGCGCTGCTAATTTCTGAATCGATGTTGGAAGGGAAAAGACGCCGAAGCACGCTGAAACTAAGCGCAAGCGGAATCCTCATGAAATACCTCAACGGACAACCGACTCCAACCAGGTAGCTTTGGTGCCCCGGGCAGAAAAAACTAAAACCCCTACGGAAAGGCATGCAACATGGGACGGATCAACCCTAAACACCATGCGACAAGGTGTTTAGGGTTGATGCCTCCCTCGGATCGCATGCCATCCGTGGGTTTTTTTTTGTTTTTTCTGCCCGGCGGTCAGGTCGACGGAGGGTCTAATCTAGTAAGAAGGCAAGGGAATGGGCATTGGGCAGCAGTGGTCAGGGAAAAGGCAAGAAAAAGGAAGAAAAGAAGGCAGAGATGGCGACGCAAGCAAGGGTATGGGCACTGGGCAGCAGTGGTTACGGACTGACTGGAGTGGGTCGGCGTCGGCATAACGCTCTGATGTTGCTGCTGCTGCTGATGAGGTGGTTACTGCCGAGGCGGAGAGTGACGCCTCGTGCGGTGGAGAGAGGTCAAAGCGGCAGATGAGGCCGTCGAGCGCGGCTGAGAGGAGTGCAGTGCGGTGGAGCGGGTGGAAGCGAACCTGATGGGAAGAGGCAGAGGATGAACGGTTACTGAAAGAAGAAGACAAAGTTGGCAAGGAGCTTGCTCGTTGCATTGACATGGTGCTGAATCCTGATGTGGTGTGGTGCTGCTCATACTTCAAGTAGCAGATGGGTCACTCAATCCCAACTTAGTACCACTCACCTGAGTGACGTCACACCCACCCGAGTGACGTCATAGCCCACTTGAGTGACGTCACAGCCCACCCGAGTGACGTCACAGCCCACCTGAGTGACGTCACAGCCCACCTGAGTAACATCACAGCCCACCTGAGTGACGTCACAGCCCACCTGAGTGACATCCTCTGTGTGTGCGTCCTCCAGTCGCCCCAACAACCGGCTGGAACGCATGTCCCACAGGAAGATCTGAATGAACACGGAAAAGGGTGTAAGGGGTGGGTGGGTGGGAAAGACACAGTCAATGCACTCCTGATGTGTTTTAAGTCGACCCCCAGTCGCCCCAACAGCCAGCTGGAACGCATATCTCACAGGAGAATCTGAAATAGTTCAGGGTGGGGATTTGGGCAAGATAAATCGTTTCCAAAGACGCCTATTGTATCCTAAGAATTTTGACAAGGCAACAAGCTTCAGAACGTAATTTTGCCACCTTCCCCTTGCCAGTCATAAGATGTTTTATCACAGGACCAGGCAAGCCAAATAAATAGCCCACTGTCAAATGCCACCTCCCCCAGTCAGCGCCTCACCTGGAACCCCCTCTTTCCGCCAGCAGGTCTCCTGAAGAAGACCCCCCTTCCCCACTGCAGAATCGCCCCACCTACCGGCCACATTTCCTTTCCCCCCAGTCCGCGCCTTACCTGGGAGTTTCCCCCTGCTGCCAGCAGGTGCCCTGTGCTCCCCCCTCCCCCGCTGCAGCTCCACAGTTCGCCCGCCCCTCCATACGCGGGGAAGACGCCCGCCTAGTGGGGGGAGGAACAGAGGGGGAGAGGGGGGGGGAGGGGGAGGGGGAGGGGGAGGGTGGGATGAAGGGGGAAAAGGCAGGGGGAGAAGGTTGGGGGAGAAGTGCTGTTCGAAATGGGAAAAGCTCAAAAGGTCACTCTAACTGGGTATGACTGCGTGTAATAATGAGAGTGACTAAAATCAGTAGGATGGTTACAACAAATTAATTCATCCACGTCTCATTGTCGCTTAAATCAGCCCAGAACCTTTAAAATCCCAAACCCTGAAACCCGTCCCCTGCACCCTAGATCACCAGCGACCTATTATGTGTTGTAAAGGACCTCCAACATTATGTCCCCTGCAAAAACTACAAACTTAAGGGTTGAACGCGCCGTTACTAGCAACGCTCACCTGCGATCGAGCGCGCGCGTCCCAAACATAAACCGCTGATTCGGCGGACGACGACAGAAGCACCTCTTTTCCCGGCCCCGCCCCTCCGAATGCCGCTTCTGCAAACCCTAAATCCGTCACCGTGCCAGGGTGGCGCGCTGCCACGTCACCCAGGGACGCGCCGGATGCCACGTCGAAGGATTTGATGGCGGGCGCTGACGTGGACACTGCCAGGAGTGGCGACACCGAACTGCAAAATTTGGGAGGATTCGGGTTTCGGCGAAAATTGACATCGAGATGTGATTAGAGAAGATGCGATTGTTCGAAGTGATTACGATACGCCGCGTAATCAGCACTACTTTGCACGCACAAGCGCAGCGAGTCATGAAGCAAATTCGGTTGCGGATACAGGACGCTGCCAGGCGAAGGAAAATGTAAATTCTGCTTTATGAGGCTTATGAGGTTTGGACTGCACGAGGCTAGCGGTTCTTAGAGAGGTAACAGAGGAGGATGCCTTCACCTAGGCCGCGTGTTAGCAGGATTGCTAGCGCACCTTACGGTGGTGTGCAGGACATAATCTGGGTCGTCGCTAGTAGAACCACCCACTCTGATTGAGCGCGCTGGTTTCAACTGCTGACCGATAAAGGCAGAAAGGGAGCGGCTGTTACCGCAGCCAGGCCCCTCGTCCATTTTATCTCTCAAGCTATAGCTGTCTTCTAAATAAAGATAGTAGCTAATAGGTCGAGATTCGAGAACAACCTTCAGCCTGAAAGTCAAATCCTCCCTAGGGATCAAGCTTAGATTACACCTTAAGGAAAATCCTCGCCTTACTGTATGCTTCGTATTTTTTTACCAGCACTGTACAGAGAAGTTTGACTGTGCGTGTACTGTAGTTCCTTAGCAGACGAAGAAAGCTTGGACTGGCTAGTGGTTTTGACATGAAAACGGTTAATTTTTTCTCCGACGTGACTTTTCTTCCGAGCCTCACAGACCGAATCTTGGCCAAATCAAATCGTTCAGGCGGAAAATAGCTTGTTGAACAACGGGGTTTCCCTGCCCGTGCAGGTTGAATGACGTCAATTAACTTATGTGTGCTATAATCGGCAGCGTATTTTCGTACAGTAAGCTGCATTTAACGTCCGTTTTACAAGACGCACCACGAATCATCACCTTTTAGGGTTTCCCGAAAATGCAGGACTCTCGGAATCACCCCTCAACAACATCGTGGTTTTGGTATGCTCAGGCTGGCTGACCATCAAGTTGCGCCACCAAGCCGCTTCGCACTTCCCAAGACCCGCATCACCTCCATTTTTCGCGCGTCCCTGACCCGCCCTCGCCTCCAATCACAAGCGCCAGCCGCGTTGTCTCATCCTTGGCCAAATGCGGCTAGGGGGGAAGCCCTTCTTCCTGTCCGTCCGATTCAAATCCGTCACACGAAAAGACAAAATCATGTCAAGCCTTCCCCTGGACCTCTGCGGCCGAAGCAAACCTAAGGGCGAATGGGGCACCGCACCGCAGGGAGCAAAATGAGTGCGGCAGTCACGGCGGCCTGGAGTACAGTGCGGGTCCTTGGGCTGGCCCTCTCAGCTCAGCAAATCCCGCGGTCGTTCCGCCAGGCAGACCTCCTTGAAGCCAGCCAGCCATGGCAGTCCCAAGGCGGTCACGGAGGGCAACGCCGAGGGTGTTGTTGGGAAATATTGGTCTTTGGGTGGCAGAGGTGGGTGCTGCTTTTCCGTGAGTCGCTCGCTGTGCTAAACGGGACGAGATGGCAAAGGGATTATCGCATCAGCCGAGCTCCTCTGGCTGAACTGCAAAGGTTTCAACATGGCTTCATGGGAAGAAAGAAATCACACGAAATCCCAAGCGTGAGGAGATGAGGTAGTTGAATGAACACCCTACGAGCTTGCCTAGAAAATCCAGCCAGGTTAGGCCCACTGAGTCACTGACACATGTGAGCTAGCTGTTGGCTTCGCCAGCCTGGGCAAGTGGGGTCAGTGTTTACACCCCAAGCCGTCGAATCACGGCCGCGTTATGAGGTTGCTTTCAGCTTCAGGGACCCTGTGCTCACCCAGGCAATTTTTGGGACCTTGAAGTTGCATGATCGTTTCAAGGTCGCGTCGCTTAGAACTTTTATTATCTGTTCATTTGTCTTAGGCAAGTTACGAGAAGCAACGATATCCAGGCCACGCATTCTACATTCACGTTGTGATTAATCTTACGGAAAATGGCGGAGCGCGGAGACGGCGAGGCGAGAGCAAAGCGAATCCGACGGCCGGCGTTACTTCCGGGCTTCATCCCGTGGAGCGCGCTCGAACTAGGCCCCCGCAAGAAGCAGGTCACCGTCGAGTCGCCGCAAAAACCGCTCGAGCCGCCGACTCAGGCTCCTCAGGAGAAGCAGAGCCAGCCGCCGGGACAAGCCGCAAACGGCACTAAACGATTAAAGAATCGCGATGGAAGGTCCTCCGCGAGTCGGCCCAGTGACGAGCCTCTTCCGGATCATATTGGCCGTTCTACCGCCGGATATCCCGCAGACATTCCCTATAGTAGTACCGAAACGGAGAAACATCACCGGATGAGCACGTCTGAGCTTAAACGCTTGAAGAATCCGCCAAACGGCGTTAAGGAGGGCGTCACGAAGACTGGCGAGCACGAGAACGGTAACTGTAACGGTAACGGTAACGGTAACGGCGGTCAAGCCTGTGAGGCAATACCGTCTGGTCTTGGCGACTGGCGCGGCGGCTCTAAGCCGCCGTTTAACGACGAGCTCCAGAAGAAGCGGAAGCGACCGAAGGTGAAGAGCATCGACGCGGTCTTTATAGATCCTAATCGGCAGGACGCGGGGATGGCGCTTCGGGAAAGCGCGGCGAGCGCGGAGCGGTCATCGCAGCAGTCGAAGCCGCGCGGTAGAACAACGTCGAGCGTGGTTGAGGTAAGACGGATGATGCTTTTATTGATCCCATGTGAAGCCGTGGTGGTTTAGTCACCACGGGGTAATATCCTTGTGGCTGGATTACTACATGTACTCACTTGCCGGAGATATATTGATATTCTTGTCCAACGGTTGTCCTTTAAATGCTCAAAAGTCCCCTGTGGTCGGTCTTGTCGTCCACGTCAGTTGATAAGCCCCAATGCTTTCCAAGTCGACTAGGAAATCGCCTATTTTGTTATGGTGCCAATCAAGTCAGTAATTACCATCTGTCCTGATTTACCAGACAACTAGTTCATTATGCCATTATCCATCCACCGTCTGTCCTTCACTTCCCTTCGCCACCGTGTCTTGTTTACCGTTCTGGCTAGTCCGTTTCCGTTCTTGCTGTTCTCTTTATAATTCCATTCACTATGCTGCTTTACGTCCCGACTGGCTTTGGCTATCCCGTGAATCCAGGCGTCAGGAAACTGCAGTAACCGACAGACGCGACCGTCGATTCTCGCGCCGCTTCGTCGTAAAGCAGACTCTGCGTGTCGTTATAAGGCGGACTCGTTAGCGGGAGAGTCGAGCGGAAGTCAGGCGCGCATGCTCGAGAGGACTGCCAGCGAAAGCACTCACGAGGGGAGCGGTATTAGGCATTCGACCTGGCGAACCCTCGGTTTTACTAACACCGACCTGGCGAAACGAGACAGAAGCGGGGCGTGCTCGTTAGAAGCCGAGGGTCTGGAGGGACGGAATCGCCCTAGGGTTTCGAAAACGGAGAGCAGGCTTCAAGCGGGTGTGATAGTAGCGAGCGGGAGTCACAAGTGTGTTGCAGAGGACAGTTTGCTGACGGATTACCGCAACAAGGATGACTGTAGCGAGGGGAGCAGTGGCGGGGTGTCGTCTGAAGGTTGGGATGATATATGCTCCGCTGTAAGCCAAAAACGGTGTGCTACAGTGAAGTGCGAAGAGGAAGAGTTGCCTGCAACGTCTACAACGAATATTTTCCATCCACAAGCTGTAGTTTGGGCCAAGGTGTGTAAGTTAATTTCCATTATCAATCAACTTCTCTTTTTATTACTAATATGGTTTCTTTTATTTCCTTTTAACTTAATAATAGTCAGTATCCATATTTGCATTCCTCTGTGTTTGTTGAAGGTGGATGATAGCAAAGGGTGGTGGCCGGCAGTGGTGGAGGATTGGATGGATGTGCCTATAACGGTTCGGCTTCTACAGGAACATGATAGCGACCGTGTAGTTAAGCTGCTATTGCGAGACGCAGGGGAGACGAAACACCTGTGCATGAAACCACAGTAAGTCTCAAACTCTCCATATATTGGTATTATATCCGTTTCAATACACTTGCATGAATATAATATGTATTTTCTATTTTATATAAATACACTTTCCATACGTCTTTCTCTCCTCTTCCTATTTTTTTACCTCCCTCGTTATCCATTGACCCCTTCCCTCCCTAGCTTCCTCAAGGATTTTATTTCGAATGTGGCTCGATATAGAAAGCAAAGTGAGAGAGCAGCTTTTCAGGATGCCATAGAAAAGGGCCTTCGGTTAGCCTCGGCGGAGCGGACGAGACTAAAGAACATGCAAGCTGCAGCAGCACAGCTTCCGAACCTGCGGCCTAGGTTCGGGAGTCTGGGCGGGAAGAAACCTCACGAAGCTGTGAGCAGCAACGGAACCGCAGCTGCTGGTTCCACTGGAAAGGGCACAGAAGGGGCGGGAGCAGAGGCTGAAGCAGGGGCAGAAGCAGAAGCAGGATGTGCCATGAATAGAGGAGAGAACACACCTCAGGTTTCTCATGATTTAGCTCCAAAGAATTTGATTCAAAGGCCGACTGAAGGGGACGCTCCGTTAGGGAAACCCAGAAAAAAAGCCAAATGCGGGCTACAGGACAAGGGGAAGGAGTCAAGTAAAGGGCCTGGTCCTAATGGTGCCTTGTGTGCTGCAGGGGCCAATCAGCTGCTGCCACGTACCCCTCCATTGAAGCAGCAGGGGCGGAAGGTGAAGGAGGCAGAAACCAGTCTGGATGAGCAACGCAGGGACCAATCTGGAGGTGCCAGGTGTCCGCCTAGTGAGGTGCTGTGTAGGGCGACTAGAAGCAGCAGTAGTCTTCCCCATAAGGCTGAGGTAGTTGGTGTGAGGCACAGTGAGAGGGAGAGTGAGCAGCAGCGGTTTGAAACGCCTCAGAAAATAAGGATGACTAGAGCAGGAAGCAAGGCAGGGGTGGACGGCACAGCAGGAACAACAGGCAAATCAGGTGCAGGCAAAGCAGGGGCGGGCAGCAGAACAGGAGCAAAGCAAAATAGACCGATGTCTTTTGAAGGGAGTCATGGAGTGGGGGCGGATGACGGAAGTGGAAAATTGGCCGGCAGACTAAGTCCCAACAGACGATTGGATGTGGATAGATTATTGGAAGCGACCCCCTCAAGCCAGGTGAAAAGTCAGGTGAAAAGCCAGGTGGAACCACAGGTGTCAGATAAGTCTGAAAGAGTAGGCAAGGCTGAGGCAGTCTGTGAGGAGAAAAAGGATCGTGGTGCTGATGAATGGATAGGGGCTGCTTCGGATGAAGTTCCGGGTGCTGCTGATAGGAAGGTGAGTGCTGCTGATAAGCTGAGTGCCGCTGATAAGGAGACGAAGCAACCAAAGTCACAGGTTGTAGCAGAACGTGAGGTGAGGGAATCGACCAAGCTGCAGCATAGGCTGTGTGACGAGAGGAATGGGCCTGAAGGCAGACGCCACGGTGAAGCGGGGTGTAGTGCAGTGGAGAATGGTGTTTTGAAGCATAGTGCAAAATCAGCATCAGCAGCAGCAGAAGCAGCAGGGAAAGGCGTGGGTTCAGCTGCAGCACTGGCGTTTCAAAAGGCGTGTGAGCGAGCAGCGCTTACGGGTATGCCTCCACCCACCTGCAACCTTACCCCCACGCCCCTCCTCACGCCACCATCCACGTCCTCATGTAGGGATAAATCGGCTAGGAGGCAGCAGATGTGGCGGGAGGCGGGTTGTGAGAAGCCTCCGGAGCGGCTTGTGTTGGAGGCTGAGGGCCTCAGGCAGCAGCTTTGGCGGGAGGAGTGGGATGAAGAGGAGGTTGAGATGGGGTTGAGGGTGGACGGTGGGGAGGAGGGCGGGGAGGGGAGAGAGGAGGGGAGAGAGGATGGGAGAGAGGAGGGCGGAGCAGATGAGGGGATTGGGCAGGAGGAGAAAGAAAAGAGGGGTCGGAAGAATAGGGGTCGGGAGGGGGAGGAGGAGAAGGGGAGGAAGGAGGAGGAGAAGCGGGAAGGGAAGAGAAGGTTAAAAAAGGGGGTGGAGGGAGAGGTGTCTGAGGCAAGGGGAGGGGAGGAGGAGGGTGGGGAGGAGAGCGACGAGACGTTGGATGAGTATGGGGATAGCTGCAAGCGCTGCCACGAAGTTGGCTTCATGCTGTGAGTGTCCCTTTCTCTTTCATGACACCTTAGATGTAATGTTTGCCACTGTGACGATGTGACTTCGATTGTAGCGATAGCTGCAAGTGGTGTCACGGGGTTGGCTTCATGCTGTGAGTGTCCCTGCCTCTCTGGGAACCTTCCAACTATGTAATGTGTGGCTATGACTAAGTGACTGTTGAGTGCCGTTGTAACGAGGTGACTCTTGGGGATAGCTGCAAGCGCTGCCACGAAGTTGGCTTCATGCTGTGAGTGCCCCTGCCTCTTTCCAGACCCACCAGTGCTTTTGCGTCGACTCGCTTTTGAGTGGACTCACTTTTGGGTCGTCTCAAAAGTCGCCTCGTTGCTGTGAGTATCGCTGCTGGCGTCTGAGAAATCGTCTCAGGAAAAGAAGCTCTCTGAGTATCGCTGCCTCGCTCCAGACCCACCGGCACTTCTTTTCCTCAGAGACGATTTCTCAGACGCCTAAAAAAATGTTATTTTTAGGCGCACTAAGAAAACTCCCCCCTTCCCCTATCTTGCCCCCCGACCCTGTTCTCAGCTGCTGTGACGGCAAGGCATGCAGCGCCACATACCACCTGCACTGCTTGGACCCTCCCCTGGATGACGTACCTCCCGGCCTCTGGTTCTGCCCTGACTGCACCCACAAACGCTTCTCCCTGGGGGTGCATGCGGTGGTGAGGCGGGCAGTTGAATCCATCTGGGATGTCCGGGCAGCTTATGCTGTTTTTTCTGCCCGGGATCCCACTGCTGCTTTTGCTACTGGCAGTCCTGCTGCTGCTGCTGCTGCCTCCCTGCCATGTCTCTCCACTCCTCTCACCTCTGCTGCTCTTGCTACAGTCAGTGCCACAGCTGGTGCTACAGCCAGGATTGGCGCTGTATGGCACGAGTACCACCATCAGAAAGGCCAACCTCACCAGGAGGAGCACCAGTGCGTATATGCCACTTCCTACAACGAACACCACGAGCATAATCATGGTGATTGTAGCGATGAGAGCGGTGAGAAAGAGAGCATGACTGCAGAAGCACCTGGGCGGGCAGGAATACTGAACGGGGTTGGGAACGAGTGGGCTGTGCTGGGGGAATTGGAAGGGGAGTGTGAGTTTAGTGGGGCGGGGAGTGACAGTGAGAGCAGTGAGGAGGAGGATGAGATTCCGACCATGGCTGTGTGGGTCGATGAGGAGGAGAGGGGGGAGGAGGGGAGGGAGGAGGGAAGGGTTAACGAGGATGAAGACGGGCAGCAGATTGTGCAAGGTCAGCAGCAACAGGGGGAGAAGCAGCAACAGGACAAGCAGCAGCAGCAGCAGCAGCAGCAGCAGCAGCAGCAGCAGCAGCAGCAGGACAAGCAGCAGAAGAAGCAACAGCTTCAGGTGGGGAGGGAGGGGGAAGAAAAGAGAGTGCTAGATCTACGGACAACCAGGTCTCACGATCTGTGTGGTTCAGGGCGGTTGAGAGGTGTAGCAACAGGGGCAGGAGGGGCAGTAGAGGCTTGTGAAGGAAAAGAGAATGGAAGGGCAGGGCCAATTAGAAGGAGAGGTGGAGGAGGGAGAGGAAGAGGTGGAGGAAGAGGAGGAGGGAGAGGAGGAGGAAGAGGAGGAGGAAGAGGAGCAGTAGCAGGAGGAGATGGAAGGAGGAGTGATGGGATGGGGCAAGAGGTAAAGAATACAGGAAGAGGGTTGGAAGATAGAGTAGGGTTAGCAGGAGTAGAAGGGGAAGTGGCAAGCACATGTTTGGTAGCGGGGGCTGGTGTTGCTTGGTGCCCTGGTGGGATCAATGGTGCCAGTCTTGGTGATGGCGGTGGTGGTGCCACTGGTGGCGGTGGTGGTGATGCTGGTAGTATTGGGGCAGCTAAGTGCGAGTACTTTGTTAAGTGGAAGGGTTTGTCCCATGCGCACAACAGCTGGATGGGCGAGGCATGGCTTGCGAGCAACGCCCCCAGACAGCTCGCGATCTTCAAAGCCCGAGCTGCTACAGTGGAGGTGAGACGGCAGAGAGGTGCGCTCTGTTGGACTCTCTCACTGCATGAGAATCACGTTCGAGAATTCTCAAAAGTGATTTCCATATGGAGGTGAGACGGCAGAGAGGTGCGCTCTGGTTGGACTCTTTAACAGCAAGAGCTCGCGTTCTTACCTTCCCTCCCTCGTTTCTCCCCATCCCTGTTTTCGGTTCTCCCCCATGTTGAACCCCCACTGGAACCACCCAGGCAAGCTCTCATAGCCAAGCGGGTCACCAGACCACCTGTAAGGCTAGAAGAGGCAGGGGTTATCGCCCTGACTGGGGGGTGAAGGTTTTCTCAAAACCTCCTTCTCTGCTTCCCTCACTTTCCCCCCTTCTTCTTCCACAGTTCTCCCCCACGTGGAATCCCCACTGGGCCCAACCAAGAAAACTCATAGCGAAGCGGGTCATCAGACCACCTATAAGGCCAGGAGCAGGTCGGGGCAGAGGCAGGGGTTATCGCCCTGACTGGGGGGTGGAGTTTTTTGTCCTGTGGCGGGGGCTGGGCTATGAACAGTGCACGTGGGAGCCGGCCAATGGGAGCGTGCTGCAGGGGGCTGTCGGGCGGCGTTTGTTGGCACGGTTCTGGGAGAGGGAGCAGGGGGAGCAGGGAGGGGGAGTGGTGGATGGGGGAAGAGATGGGAAGGGAGAGAGTCTGTGTGCCATGCCGGACCACTCTGCACCGCACTGGATCGCAATGTCTGACGCCCCGATGCAGCAGCAGCTGGGGAACCTGAACGCCCTGAGGAGCCGGTGGAGGGAGTGTGGTCCCTTGGGGGGTGGGGAGAGGGGTGGGGGGGCTAGAGGGAGGAGGAAGAGCAGCAGGCAGCAGGGAGAGTGGGGCATGCTGCAAGGAGCGAGCTATGAGGTGAGTCTTGGGGGGGACATGTGGATGTGAGATGAGGAAGCAGATGTGAGATGAGCAGGCAGATGTGAGATGAGGTGGGATGTGGTTTGTAATCAGCATGCCGCGCCTCCCTTCTCACCTGTCTCTGTTTTCCCATCTCCCACCCACCACTCACTCCCACCAGGCAAACCGGCTCGTGCTGGCCGCGTTCCTGTGCACACAAGCTCGTGACTTCCAATGTCCCACAACTGCCACAGTTTCTACAGCCGCTACAGCTGTTACAGCTGCTGTGGCCAATGAAGCCACAGCAGCCGCTGCTGCTGCCGCCGCTACAGCCGCTGCTGGCATTGCAAGTGCTGCAGGCGCTACAGCCGGACGCATGAGGCCGAGTCTGCTGGTGGTGCCTGGCTCAGCTGTAGCGGTATGGGAGGGGTTACTGGAGCAGAGAGCGCCTGAGCTGAGTGTGACTGTATTGAGGGGCAGTGGGGGGACTAGGGAGGTGATTAAACGGTGGGAGCTTAAAAAGGAAGTGGAGAGAGGGGGAGTGGAGGGGGGGAGGAGGGGGGGGGGGGAGGAGGAGGAGGAGGAGGAGGAGGAGGAGGAGGAGGAGGAGGAGGAGGAGGAGGAGGAGGAGGAGGAGTGAGGGGAATGGACGGTAATAGTGAGGGGGGTGGGGATGCAGAAGGGGAGGAGGGAAGTGTGGGGAAGATGGGGGTTAGGGCTGACGTGGTCATCACTACACCTCTTGTCTTTTCCATGGTAAGTGCTTTTGATTTAAGGCATCTAAATGATTGCGGGGTAAGAGACGAATTATGAGGCTCCTCAAGATGCGAGGATGGGGGAGGGTGGGGAAGATGAGGCTCAGGGCTGACCTGGTCATCACCACACCTCTTGTTTTCTCCATGGTGAGTGCTTTTGAGGCGCCTAGAACATTGTGGGCCCTTTGAGGCGCCTCAAAATGGGAGGAGGGAAGGGTGGGGAAGGTGGGGGTTTGGGTTAGGGCTGACGTGGGCATCACCACACCTCCTGTCTTCTCCATGGTGGGTGTTTTTTAGGCGCCTAGAACATTGTGGGTTAAGAGACAACCTTTGAGGCACCTCAGAAACGGGAGGAGGGAAGGGTGGGGAAGATGAGGGTTAGGAGTGACGTCATCATCACTGCACCTTGTTTTTTCCATGGTGAGTGCTTTTTGAGGCGCCTCAACAGATGTGGGCTATAAGACGACTTTTGAGGCGCCTCAAAAAGGGAGGAGGGAAGGGTGGGGAAGATGAGGGTTAGGAGTGACGTCATCATCACTACACCTTGTTTTTTCCATGGTGAGTGCTTTTTGAGGCGCCTCAACAGATGTGGGCTATAAGACGACTTTTGAGGCGCCTCAAAAAGGGAGGAGGGAAGGGTGGGGAAGATGAGGGTTAGGAGTGACGTCATCATCACTACACCTTGTTTTTTCCATGGTGAGTGCTTTTTGAGGCGCCTCAACAGATGTGGGCTATAAGACGACTTTTGAGGCACCTCAGAAACGGGAGGAGGGAAGGGTGGGGAAGATGAGGGTTAGGAGTGACGTCATCATCACTACACCTTGTTTTTTCCATGGTGAGTGCTTTTTGAGGCGCCTCAACAGATGTGGGCTATAAGACGACTTTTGAGGCGCCTCAAAAAGGGAGGAGGGAAGGGTGGGGAAGATGAGGGTCATCACCACACCTCCTGTCTTCGTGTGTGAAGACCACTGAGCTATGTCTGGATCTCGGGCTGACGTGGTCATCACCACACCTCCTGTCTTCGTGTGTGAAGACCACTGAGCTATGTCTGGATCTCGGGCTGACGTGGTCATCACCACACCTCCTGTCTTCGTGTGTGAAGACCACTGAGCTATGTCTGGATCTCGGGCTGACGTGGTCATCACCACACCTCCTGTCTTCGTGTGTGAAGACCACTGAGCTATGTCTGGATCTCGGGCTGACGTGGTCATCACCACACCTCCTGTCTTCGTGTGTGAAGACCACTGAGCTATGTCTGGATCTCGGGCTGACGTGGTCATCACCACACCTCCTGTCTTCGTGTGTGAAGACCACTGAGCTATGTCTGGATCTCGGGCTGACGTGGTCATCACCACACCTCCTGTCTTCGTGTGTGAAGACCACTGAGCTATGTCTGGATCTCGGGCTGACGTGGGCATCACCACACCTCCTGTCTTCTCCATGGTGGGTGTTTTTTAGGCGCCTAGAACATTGTGGGTTAAGAGACAACCTTTGAGGCACCTCAGAAACGGGAGGAGGGAAGGGTGGGGAAGATGAGGGTTTGGAGTGACGTCATCATCACTACACCTTGTTTTTTCCATGGTGAGTGCTTTTTGAGGCGCCTCAACAGATGTGGGCTATAAGACGACTTTTGAGGCGCCTCAAAAAGGGAGGAGGGAAGGGTGGGGAAGATGAGGGTTAGGAGTGACGTCATCATCACTACACCTTGTTTTTTCCATGGTGAGTGCTTTTTGAGGCGCCTCAACAGATGTGGGCTATAAGACGACTTTTGAGGCGCCTCAAAAAGGGAGGAGGGAAGGGTGGGGAAGATGAGGGTTAGGAGTGACGTCATCATCACTACACCTTGTTTTTTCCATGGTGAGTGCTTTTTGAGGCGCCTCAACAGATGTGGGCTATAAGACGACTTTTGAGGCGCCTCAAAAAGGGAGGAGGGAAGGGTGGGGAAGATGAGGGTTAGGAGTGACGTCATCATCACTACACCTTGTTTTTTCCATGGTGAGTGCTTTTTGAGGCGCCTCAACAGATGTGGGCTATAAGACGACTTTTGAGGCACCTCAGAAACGGGAGGAGGGAAGGGTGGGGAAGATGAGGGTTAGGAGTGACGTCATCATCACTACACCTTGTTTTTTCCATGGTGAGTGCTTTTTGAGGCGCCTCAACAGATGTGGGCTATAAGACGACTTTTGAGGCGCCTCAAAAAGGGAGGAGGGAAGGGTGGGGAAGATGAGGGTCATCACCACACCTCCTGTCTTCGTGTGTGAAGACCACTGAGCTATGTCTGGATCTCGGGCTGACGTGGTCATCACCACACCTCCTGTCTTCGTGTGTGAAGACCACTGAGCTATGTCTGGATCTCGGGCTGACGTGGTCATCACCACACCTCCTGTCTTCGTGTGTGAAGACCACTGAGCTATGTCTGGATCTCGGGCTGACGTGGTCATCACCACACCTCCTGTCTTCGTGTGTGAAGACCACTGAGCTATGTCTGGATCTCGGGCTGACGTGGTCATCACCACACCTCCTGTCTTCGTGTGTGAAGACCACTGAGCTATGTCTGGATCTCGGGCTGACGTGGTCATCACCACACCTCCTGTCTTCGTGTGTGAAGACCACTGAGCTATGTCTGGATCTCGGGCTGACGTGGTCATCACCACACCTCCTGTCTTCGTGTGTGAAGACCACTGAGCTATGTCTGGATCTCGGGCTGACGTGGGCATCACCACACCTCCTGTCTTCTCCATGGTGGGTGTTTTTTAGGCGCCTAGAACATTGTGGGTTAAGAGACAACCTTTGAGGCACCTCAGAAACGGGAGGAGGGAAGGGTGGGGAAGATGAGGGTTTGGAGTGACGTCATCATCACTACACCTTGTTTTTTCCATGGTGAGTGCTTTTTGAGGCGCCTCAACAGATGTGGGCTATAAGACGACTTTTGAGGCGCCTCAAAAAGGGAGGAGGGAAGGGTGGGGAAGATGAGGGTTTGGAGTGACGTCATCATCACTACACCTTGTTTTTTCCATGGTGAGTGCTTTTTGAGGCGCCTCAACAGATGTGGGCTATAAGACGACTTTTGAGGCACCTCAGAAACGGGAGGAGGGAAGGGTGGGGAAGATGAGGGTTAGGAGTGACGTCATCATCACTACACCTTGTTTTTTCCATGGTGAGTGCTTTTTGAGGCGCCTCAACAGATGTGGGCTATAAGACGACTTTTGAGGCGCCTCAAAAAGGGAGGAGGGAAGGGTGGGGAAGATGAGGGTTAGGAGTGACGTCATCATCACTACACCTTGTTTTTTCCATGGTGAGTGCTTTTTGAGGCGCCTCAACAGATGTGGGCTATAAGACGACTTTTGAGGCGCCTCAAAAAGGGAGGAGGGAAGGGTGGGGAAGATGAGGGTTAGGAGTGACGTCATCATCACTACACCTTGTTTTTTCCATGGTGAGTGCTTTTTGAGGCGCCTCAACAGATGTGGGCTATAAGACGACTTTTGAGGCGCCTCAAAAAGGGAGGAGGGAAGGGTGGGGAAGATGAGGGTTAGGAGTGACGTCATCATCACTACACCTTGTTTTTTCCATAGTGAGTGCTTTTTGAGGCGCCTTAACAGATGTGGGCTATAAGACGACTTTTGAGGCGCCTCAAAAAGGGAGGAGGGAAGGGTGGGGAAGATGAGGGTTAGGAGTGACGTCATCATCACTACACCTTGTTTTTTCCATGGTGAGTGCTTTTTGAGGCGCCTCAACAGATGTGGGCTATAAGACGACTTTTGAGGCGCCTCAAAAAGGGAGGAGGGAAGGGTGGGGAAGATGAGGGTCATCACCACACCTCCTGTCTTCGTGTGTGAAGACCACTGAGCTATGTCTGGATCTCGGGCTGACGTGGTCATCACCACACCTCCTGTCTTCGTGTGTGAAGACCACTGAGCTATGTCTGGATCTCGGGCTGACGTGGTCATCACCACACCTCCTGTCTTCGTGTGTGAAGACCACTGAGCTATGTCTGGATCTCGGGCTGACGTGGTCATCACCACACCTCCTGTCTTCGTGTGTGAAGACCACTGAGCTATGTCTGGATCTCGGGCTGACGTGGTCATCACCACACCTCCTGTCTTCGTGTGTGAAGACCACTGAGCTATGTCTGGATCTCGGGCTGACGTGGTCATCACCACACCTCCTGTCTTCGTGTGTGAAGACCACTGAGCTATGTCTGGATCTCGGGCTGACGTGGTCATCACCACACCTCCTGTCTTCGTGTGTGAAGACCACTGAGCTATGTCTGGATCTCGGGCTGACGTGGTCATCACCACACCTCCTGTCTTCGTGTGTGAAGACCACTGAGCTATGTCTGGATCTCGGGCTGACGTGGGCATCACCACACCTCCTGTCTTCTCCATGGTGGGTGTTTTTTAGGCGCCTAGAACATTGTGGGTTAAGAGACAACCTTTGAGGCACCTCAGAAACGGGAGGAGGGAAGGGTGGGGAAGATGAGGGTTTGGAGTGACGTCATCATCACTACACCTTGTTTTTTCCATGGTGAGTGCTTTTTGAGGCGCCTCAACAGATGTGGGCTATAAGACGACTTTTGAGGCACCTCAGAAACGGGAGGAGGGAAGGGTGGGGAAGATGAGGGTTAGGAGTGACGTCATCATCACTGCACCTTGTTTTTTCCATGGTGAGTGCTTTTTGAGGCACCTCAACAGATGTGGGCTATAAGACGACTTTTCAGGCGCCTCAGAAAGGGAGGAGGGAAGGGTGGGAAAGATGAGGGTTAAGAGCTATGTTATCATTGTGGCACCTTGTGTTCTCCATGGTTTGTGCTGATTGGCTGGCTGGTGTGGTGCTGAGTGTAAAGGCTGCTAGGCTGTGGCATGAGATATGTGTGTGTGCCCCGTTGCAACAGGCAGAAACCACTTGCCTTTGGAGTCGACTCAATGCGAGGTGACTTTGGAGTCAACACAACAGTCACCTTGTCGCTTTTGTTTTAACCATAACGTACAAGACAAACAGTTGGTGCAGTCAAGCACCTTCCCTCTCTGACACCACCCAGCACACAGTCTCAGGCTTGAGAACTTCATGTGCCCAACACCATCCGCATCACCTGTCCCTCGGCACACCACCACAGGAGCGATCTTACCTTGAGGAGGTAACATAGAGCGCCATAGCAGCAAGTGGTGGCACATATTTCCCGATGCATATCTCTGCACCATTCCCCAAAAACCTCACCATCCCCCACCACAGGAGCGTTCTTACCTTGAGGAGGTGGCGTGGGGCGCCATAGCAGTGGACGGCAGCACGCAGCTGTGGACGGCGCACGAGGCCAGTGCCGCCCACTCCATGGGGTGGCCGCGCTCCGTCTTTTCCCTGCACGCCTGCCTTCGCGTCCTGCTTGCCCCACACGAGCCCCAGGTGAGTTTGACATTCGGCAATTGACATTTGCCATTTGAGGTGGGAGATTTGACACTCTTTTGAAAATTGAGATGTGACGCACTTCTGATTTCACATGTGACAATGGATACTTAAGTTGGTCTAACGTCGTCAGTTGGATCTCCCCCTACGTTGCCCGTGCCTAATGCTCTGCAAGGCGATTGCACTTATTGGTGCCCTTCATGATTCAAAGCATGGATGGCGTGGGTTCACTTGGTCCGTTGTGTGCTTTGGGGGATTTATGCCCTTTTCTCTCCTTCTTAGTCCGCCTCATCCCTTCCTAATTCCCATGTATTTTATCTGGCTGCTTGTATGACGCTTTGTTCCTCCTGTGACTTTCTGGGCGCAGGCACGCTACTGTGATGCTGCTGGGGACGTGACCATGATGACAGTCGCCCCAGCTCATTGACCACTACAGGTGATTCATTTATGAATATTCCCATAAAGCACAATCCAGAGCTAAATATGTGTGTATAAATCACATAATGGGGAGCATATGGAGTGGGATGAGGCATTTAGGGTTTGAAAGGAAGACGGGTTTGAAGGCCAGTTGAAGTTTATTAACATATGTGTATAATTCAGTATTTGATATGGGCACACCTAACGATGCCATGTTCTTGGTGTATATACGTGTACTGTTATTGAACATTGGCAGTTCGCACTGTTCAAATCCACGTGCATGTTCCGGAACCACGCGGACGTATCCGAGATATGCCTTTTTAACCTGAAATCCGGAAAAGTGCTCAGCGCTGGGCAATCCACGCTGTCAGAATTGTTCCGCTTGCTGACGCTTTTTCTAAGGATATTTCGATGTAGATTCACACGCTAGCCACTCGCACACAATCGCTCAGACGCGCCGCTCGATACATGGCCGATAGCGATTGTCAATCAGCCAAAAAGTCGTTACTCCTAGGTTGATCTCACCGTTCAAAGCAGGAATCGTATTTCCATCGACGGTAATGGTCATTTGTGTCACGTGACTCCTTCAGGGCAAGGTTGTCAAAAATCGGATTTTCCTTAATGACCTGGCACACGTGGATATCTGCCGGGGCAATCGGGGCAGCTGAAGCATGGCAAAATCTAGGGACATCACTGGTCAGTTGGGACGCTTTGGAGCTTTTGTTAAAAAGGCAACAATTACGGGCAGCAGGGATGAACCAAATCCTTCAGAACAGTCACCGTGTCCACACGCAAAGCATTCCCGCCAACCAGCCAATCCCTGGAGCCATTTCGTGCACTTGCCTTGGCATTGAGCTTGTCACGCTGCTCCTCCGCTGACAGTTTCCGCGGAGGATGGCATTGTCTTTGGTCACCACCCCTCGGCGGTTTGGCGGCGGGCTGGCAGCCAACGCAGGCAAGGGAAGGATTCTCCGCTGCTCTCCGCTCTGCCAGTGGTGGGGGAATATCTCAGCCTTGGGGTTTGTTGGAACAGCACAGACGGGAAAAGCCAACCAGTGCCGACCGGAACTGGGCCTCCGCGCGCATCTCTCTCTCCCCGAACTTCCCCTTCCCCCTAACCTTTTCTTCCCCCATGCCTCCGTTGCGCCAGACTGCCAGAACAGGAACAGACTGCCTCTACCTCCCAGGCTCCCTCCCACACATCCTCCTCACACTCATGCCATTTGCTTCCTTCCCTTCACCCTCACGCCTCACTCACAGCAGCTTCATTCAACCACACTCCTCACGTGCATCTGTTATCTCCATTCCTCTCTGTCCACCGAAGGCTGCGAGAGTGGCGATGAGATACCGAGCGAAGCCTGGGCTCTGTGTGCTTGTACTTTCTGGGAGGCTTAGGGTTGTCTTGTGAACGGCTGATTTTGTGATACCGAGTGCGTACTTGAGCTTCGTCTGTCAGGTCATTCCATACTTTCGACAATATACTAGTTTATTCGCAAAACGGTCTTTGCGGAGACTATAACCTGCCCTCGTCCACAAATTAGGACACAGCGTTTATCAATCGTATCAAGTCCGTAATTAGGTCGAGCACGCGACACGAAATCTTTCGGGTTGGATTCATGGTCGGATCCGATTTATGGATGGCGACGCCATGACCTTGTCGCTAGCCCAGTCACCGCCTCCCATGCAAGTATCCCGTCGCTACACTCCGTCCCTGTTTGCATCCCGTAATTCCGGGTTCCCGGGTTCCTTACCAGATGCTAGAGAATCAGCTGAAAGCCTTCCGACCTCTTTTGACCGGAGTTACGTCACTCCCATAAACGCGACAACAGGTCGAACCCCCATTCACGCGATAGCAAGTCGAGCCGCCTCGTTGCATCAGAATTCGCCATCGTCGTTGGAGAAACTCGTTGCACCGCGACCTAGAACCGAGCAGAACAAGTTTGGGGGAAACGGGACCGTCGATTTTGCAGATCCGACGGCGCAGCGCGCTCCTGTGAATAGCGGAGGTGTTTCTGGAAGCTCGATACCTTTTGTGTACAGTAGAGCTGACGTTATTCGTAGCGAGAATCAACCTAGTAACGCTGCAGAAGCAAGTATGGAGTACGGCCGGGACTACGATAGGCAGCGAGGCGAAGGTTTACGATACGCGGAGCGAGGAGGGTACTCGGAGCAAGGAGGGTTACCATACTCAGAGCACGAGTATCGACAACGTTTCGCTAACGCCTCGACTTCGCAAGCGCTCGTTTTAGCGGAAGGGACTTCGTTTCTACCGCGTTTTTCTAACGATGGGGACTCAGGCGAGCGCTCCCGTCCCGTTGAAAGCCCGAATACGAGGTTCGCCCGTCATGTCGTTGAGACGCTATCGCGTTCGATCGAGGACGACGGGGGGGAAGGGGATGCCGGTTGTCCAGTGGCGGAAGGGCAGCGATGGGTGAATGACGGGGGGCCCGCAGGGGACGAATACGGGGAGGAGCAAAGGGGGGAAGAGGAAGGGGCGTCGCGCGGTAACTGGGATCGAGCTGCTCTGGAAGGGGAAGGCAGGGGGGGAAGCTCCCAGCGGCCGTGGGGCTCACAGGAGGTCCGCTTTCCGCCGCAAGGGCGTGACACGTCGCAATTTCAGGGGCGAGGCGAGCGCACCGACGTGGGTGGAAGCGGCAACGAGGACGCGAGGCGGGGAAACCATCGCGTGATTGCGGAGGACGGCCCGCGTGAGCGGGTGGATCTGCGCTCGGGTTCGAACTTACCGGTCAAGTCTGACCGGCAGCCCTTGCGCGGCCTTTCCGTTACAGTTGACGGCCTTTGCGAGGGGGCCGTCGGGGGAGGCTACGCGGAATCTGGCGGCGGCGCAATGGATGCGGACACTGGAGGGGGGAACTTGCCCGCGGTGAAGGCGAGCGCGGGGCGGAGCAGGCGGTTTTTGACGGCGGTTGACGGTGCAGTTCCAGTTTTCGCCGACGGGCAGCCGCAGGGAAACGGGGCGTGGGTCAATGGGCTCGAAAAAATACGCTCGGCGCCTGCACTTCCCGACGGGGTGTATGACGGTAGCGGGAACGCTTTTAACGGGGATGAGGGCAGCCCGTTGGGTTCAGCACACGGAGCTACTCCCGGAGGGATGGACGGCAATGGACCCGCCGCGTTTGGCGCCGCTATGGCTGCTGAAAGAAGACCCGCGCCGTCCTACGGATGCCCCAGAGGCGTGCTGGGTGCTCGTTCGTCCGTCTTCGCTTCTCTCCCTTCCTCCTCCTCCGGTTTTGGAGCCCTTTCCTCTAATATGCCGTCGCCGTTTCCCCCCGGCTTGCCCTCCGCGTTGTCGCGTCCCCCTGGGAAGGGGAAACGCGCGGGGTTGGAGGGCGCGGACGCGCGGGGGATTTCTCCGCGGAGTGGCGCATTCACCGGACGCTCGAGCGGGAACGAGTGGGAAGAGGCGGCTTTGCGCGGGGGGGAGGAGGAGAGAGCGGAAGCAGGGTTGCAGCGCGGGCGCGGGAGGGAGAATTCGGCGGACGGTGAACGCGCGCTGTTCGCCCGGCCGAGAGACCGTGAGCCGGCGATTGGGCGGGGGAATATCGGCCGAGAGGCGGCAGCGGCTGCAGGAGGCGGAGGAAGCAGCAGAGGAAGGTTCGTTTTCGGAAGGGCAGGAACGGCAGCAACTGAGATGAGCAAGGTTCAGATCGGTACTGCTTGGGGAGCAGCGGGGTGTGATTATGAAGCGGAGGTCGACGCAGAGGCAGAGGCAGGGGTGGGTGGCGAGCGGATGGGATGGGAGGAAGGGGGGCACAGCGGAGCGTGGGGTTCTGAGCGTGAGTATGAGCATCAGCGGGTGCGGCAGCAGGCACAGCAAAAGCAGCAGCGGCGGCAGGAGCAGCAGCAGCAGGAACGGCGGGAGCAGCGCGAGCAGCAGCAGGAGAGGACGATGGAGCAGTTGGGAGTTGCGTTGGGCGAAGAGGATCGCTGGGGTAAACGACAGGCTTGGAGTGGTAACCCCGTTACTGCAGGCCCGTCAACTTCAGGCGTGGAGGCGTATGTCGAGGAGATGGGGGCGAGGGACGACAGGTGGGGAAAACGACCGTCGCGCGAGTCTCTAGATACAGAGGAGCTGAGCGCTGGAGAAAGGGGAAGAGTGAGGGACATGAGAGCACGGAGAGCAGCAGCAGCTGCGGCGGTGGCTGCGGCGGCGGCAGGGGCGGCGGGTATGGATCATCTGGCTCGCATGGGGGGTGCGGCGGCCTGTTTGGAGGAGGATGTGCCAGGGGTGGGTCGTCTGGGTAGTCTTGGCATGGACGTTATGGGTGCAGAGGTGATGGGTGGTGCAGGTGGGGCTTTGGGCATGGGTAGAAGCCCGAGGGAGTATGGCGTGCAGGGGGGGAGAAAGAGGAGCATGTCGCCTGGAGGCAGGAGTGAAAGGAGCGGGTGGAGCGGGCGCAGTGGGAAGAGTGGGAAGAGTGGGAGGAGTGGGAGGAGCGGGAAGAGTGGGAGGAGTGGGAGGGAGCATTGGGCACAGCCAAAGCATGCTTCTGTGAAGCGAAGAAAAAATGGCGAGAGCAGAAACAGTGGCGACCCTCAGCAACAGCCGCAGCAGTCGCCACTCTGCACGCCTGAAACGATGCAAGCCTTTATGGCTTTCCAGGCTTTCATGAGCCAACAGCAGCAGCAGCAGCAGGAAGGAGGGCAGCAGGGTTCGTTCGCGCTTCCTCCCGTCTCTCCTGAGTCGATACACGCGTTTCTGGCATTTCAAAGCTTCATGGGCCAGCAGCAGCAGCAGTCACAATCGCAACAGCAGGACGGGAGGGACGAACAGGAACAAGACGAGCAGGAGGAGCGGGACGAGCGGGATGCGCCACAGCGGCAGCAGAGGCAACAGCAGGGGCAGCAGCAGAGGGAGCAGCAGAGGGGGCAGCAGAGGGAGGCGTTCGGCCGTCCACCTCTACCCGTCCAGCAGCGACGCCCCTCCAAGTCTCCTGAACTCGTCACTCAACGCACTACCTCTGCTTCACGTTCTTCCGCCCCTCGCTCCCCCCACTCCTCCGCCCCCCGCTCTCCCCATTCCTCTGCCCCGTGCTCACCCCTCCCCCACACGTCCCCCGCACTCCGGACCACCTCCCCCATCCCCCGCATGCCGTCCCCCTCTATCTCCCCCGCCCCGTCCGGCGCCCCTAGCAGCGCTTCCCCCTCCCCCCGCCCTCTGGCGCTATTTGAGCGCATCACCCGCCGCCGCCAGTCTAGCCCCAATAGCGCGCGCCCCCCGTCCGCCAATAGCAGGCCTCCTAAGTTCCCCCCGCGCGCCACCCCTCCCGCTGCTTATAGCGGAGAGGGCGATGGTAGGGATAACGCGTATGCCCAGGCAGGAGGGAGGGGAGGGGTTAGCCGAGTGAGGAGTGAGGGGGGAGGTATGGGGGGGGTGAGGGAAAGTGGTTCTGATGGATTCGAGTATAGGGAGGGGAGTAGAGGGAGCGTGAGGGAGAAGGGGTGGGGCGTGGGCGGGAAGGGAAAGCGGCAGGGGATGAGGATGGACGAAGCAGAGGGTAGTGACAGGGGGAGGGTGAGTGAGAGGGCGAGTGAGAGGGCGAGTGAGAGGGAGAGGGAGAGTGAGGAGGAGGAGGTGCTGTTGAGAATGCAGAGGTTGGAACAGGAGATCAGGAGCGGCCACCAGCACGAACAGCAGCGCCAGCAGCAGCAGGAGCAACAGCTGCAATCACAGCAGGAGCAGCGACAGCAGCAGCAGCAGCAGCGTTCCCCCACCCCTCCATCAAGCCCCTTCTCCACCACGCCAAACCCCTTATCCACCATGCCAAACCCCTTATCCACCATGCCAAACCCCTTCTCAGCACCCAACAACACCTTCCCCTCCTTCACACCGACCTTCCCTCAAGGCCTGTCCGATGCTCCGGCCGTTTCTGCCGTCTCTGCTGCCATTGCTGCCACTCCAAATGCCCCTGGACCTGGCGCGCAGTTGCCAGGTCTTCTCACCAACATGAATCCCACTAGCATGAACTCGACTGGCGTGAACCCCACCTCTCCCTCCCCTCCTCCTCACTTCTTCAGCACCTCTCCCTTCCAGTCCTTGGCTTCCCCTGCCTTTCCCAACCAAGCCCTCCCGAACCCCCTTCTTTCGAACCAGTTCCTGCCGAACCAGCTCCTCCCAAACCAGATCCTCCAAAACCAGCTACTCCCGAACCAATTCCCAACAGGCTCCCAAAACCCAATCGTATCCATGCCTCTCGCCCCGCCCACGCTCTCAATCCCTCTCTTCCACCCTCTCTCCGGCCCATCGATGCACCTCAGGGCATTAGTAGGTCTTCAGGCGGAGTCCCAGCAGAGCAACTCCGTGTCTCTGCCTGTTGGTGGGGCTTCTTTAGGGATTTCCCCGGCTGGAGGGGGGTTTTTCTGTGGTGCCCCTGGCACAGCGGCTGCTGGAGGGTGTTTAGCTGATGCTGCAGCAGGGATGGCGTCTGGAGCGCTGGGGCTTGCGGGAACAGGTCCTGGGGTTGCTGCAACTGCAGCGGGGATGCTGGGGTGTGGTGCTATGGGTGCTGCAGGGTCCGGTGCGGTGCTGATGAGTGCACAGGTGTCCCCGCAAATGGCTCTGCTGCAGAAGTACCAGCAGTACCAGCAGCAGCTGCTGCTGCAGCAACAGGGGAGGCAAGGGCAAGGGCAGGGGCTAGGGCAGGCGCAGGGTGCTAGAGGCAGTGGGCAGGAGGGGAATGGGGGGGCTGGCAAGAGTGGTCAGAGGGAGGAGTGCCGTTTGGAGCGGAGTGAGAGGGGAGAGGAGAGGCGTGGAGTGAGTGAGGGTGAGAGGAGGGGAGGGGTTGATTTGGGTGGCGGTGATGGTGATGATAGGGGTAGCGAGGAGAATGGAGAGCAGGAAAGGGAGGAGGAGGAGGAGGAGGAGGATGGGTGGACGAGGGATTTGTCACGGAGCAGAGGCAGGAGTTGGGAGAGTGAGAGTGAGAGCGAGAGTGAGGGAGGGAGTTCAGTGAATAGGCTATCGAGTAGACTAGAGGGGAGGAGGAAGAAGAGGAGGAGAAGGAGAAGGGAGGAGGAGGAAGATGAAGAGGATGAGGATGATGAAAACGAGGGGGATAGCAGGGAGGTATCAGAGAGAGAGGAAGAGAGGCTAAGGAAAAAGGAGGCTGAGGTTCGGAGGCTTATCCAAGAAACCAGCGTTTTGCAGCAGATGGCACAGGCGCAGGTTCGGGTACAAGCTGAGGTGCAGGTTCGGGCCCAGGCTATGGCACAGGCTCAGATGCAGCAGGCTCGGGTGGTGCAGGCTCGGGTGCAGGCAGCAGCAGCAGCACAGGCACAGATGCTTGCAGCTTCCCAAGCCTCCCTGCTGGCTCAGGCTCGGGGGATGGGTGCGCCTATGTGTAATCTGATGGGGTTGGGGCAGCTGAACGGGCAGCTGAACGGGCAGATGAACGGGCAGTTGACCGGGCAGCTGAACGGTCTGCGAGGCGGGATGAGTCCTCCTCCCATGAGCTTCCAGGGCTCCTTGGGCTCGTTATTGAGCCAGGCCAATCCTCTCAACCCCACCGCTCTCAACCCCTCAGCACTGAGCCTCTCTGCTCTGAACCCCTCTGCACTGCACGCCTTATCTGCCAACCCCGCTGCACTGGCCCTCTCAGGATTCAACGCCTCTTCATTGAACGCTTCGTCCTTCAATGCTTCGTCCTTCAATGCTTCGTCCTTCAATGCTTCGTCCTTCAATGCTTCGTCCTTCAATGCCTCTTCCTTCAACGCCTCCTCATTCAACAACTCTTCCTTTTCCGGTTCGCCTCTGCGCCCCTCCTCCCCTTTCCATCCATCCTCCCCCTTCCACCCATCCTCCCCATTCAACCCCCCTGGGAGCTCCCTGCTAGGCAATCCCCCCAGTAGTTCCCTCAACGGCAATCCTCCCACCAGCTCTATGCTCGGTAACCCCCCCACCAGCTCTATCAACGGTAACCCTCCCACCAGCTCTCAGCATTTCAGTGCCTCTCACGAGGGGAACACGGGCAGTGGGCTTGACGCTTTTCGGGCAGCTTTTGAGGCGTCTCAGAGGAATGCGGGCAGCGGGCCGGAACCTTTCCCCCCTCTACAGTCTCCCCAGGCTTTCCAGGCGTTTCAGTCTTTTCAGTCTCAAAGAAATGCTTCAGACGGCAATACGGGAAGTGGCATTCAGGGTGGTGTTCAGGGTCCGAATGGTTTTCAGTCGATGCAGGCGTGTCAGTCATCCCAAAACAATGCTTCGGACGGCAATACAGGGACTGCAGCAGATGCTTTCAAGTCCTTCCAAGCTTTTCAAGCTTTCCAGGCATCTCAGGGTTTCCAGTCGGCGCAAGGAAAGGGTTCAGAGGGGAATGCGGGGAGGGTCGTTCCTCCTGCCACTACAGATGCCTCGCCGTTTGGATTGGGAGAGGGGTTGAGAGGGGTGAGGATGGGTGGGGAACGGGGTGGTGCGGGTGGTGCTGGTGCTGGAAGGGAGAGGGAGGGCGGAGAGGAGGAAGAGGAGGAAGAGGAGGAGAGAGAGGGAGAGCAGGGAGAGGGAGAGAGGAGGAGAGGGGTGCAGGGAGGGAGGCAGGAAAGGGGGCAGGGAGGAGAGTGTGAGGAGGCAGCGGGTTGGCAGGGAGGGGAAGGTGAGGAGGCAAAGGGTTGGCAGGGAGGGGAAGGTGAGGAGGCAAAGGGTTGGCAGGGAGGGGAAGGTGAGGAGGCAAAGGGTTGGCAGGGAGGGGAAGGTGAGGAGGCAAAGGGTTGGCAGGGCATGCAGTTGGTCGTGCATTCTGGGAGCATCCCTTTTGGTTCTAGAGGAGTGGGGCGGATTTACTCAGGCAATGGGGGAGAGGTTGATGGGGAAGGGGCTGAGGGGGGAGGGGATGATGAGGGAAGGGGTGATGAGGGAGGGGGTGATGGGGGCGAGGAGACAGGGCAATACAGTTTGCGAAGCCCTGCGGATTACTTAAGTGGGCGGCAGCAGCAGCAGCAGCAGCAACTACTTCAGCTTCAGCAGCAGCAGCAGCAGAAGCAGCAGCAGCAGCAGAAGCAGCAGCAGCAGAAGCAGCAGCAGCAGCAGCAGCAGCAGCAGCAGCAGCAGCAGCAGCAGCAGCAGCAGCAGCAGCAGCAGCAGCAGCAGCAGCAGCAGCAGCAGCAGCAGCAGCAGCAGCAGAAGCAGCAGCAGCAGCAGCAGCAGCAGAAGCAGCCTCCTTCCCTTCCATCCCACCCGCAGCAAAAAGCTCCTTCACCTACGTGCCCGCCCCTCTCCTCCCCATCTCCCACTCCAAACTCGCCCCTTCCCTCCCCTCACCGCTCTCCCCTTCCCTCCCCTCACCGCTCTCCCCTTCCCTCCCCTCACCGCTCTCCCCTTCCCTCCCCTCACCGCTCTCCCCTTCCCTCTCCTCACCCCTCTCCCCTTCCTCAGTTTAAGGCAAATCAACAATTCCCTCGTCCCTCCTCTCCACTTCCCACTCCTCCTCCCCACACGCGGTCTCGTTTTGACATGTCTCCTCCTCCTCCCCACAATCGTTCCCGCACTCCCCCACTCTCATGCCCACCCACCCCTCCTGCTCCTTCCATTCCCAACGCTCTATGCACTCCTTCTGCCCCCCGCCGTTCGCCTTCCTCCACCAATCATGCCTCTCCCTACCTCCCTCCCCCCAGCCTATCTCCCACAAACCTCCCTCCGAACCTCTCTCATCCGAACGTCCCTTACCCCTCCCCTACTTGTAGCCCTCTCAACACCCCAACACGCCCGCCCTTCCCAACTCAACCTACCAACAATAGGAACACTGATAACACTGTTAATACTGGTAACATGGGTAACACTGGTAACACAGGTGACACGGGTAACAACGAAATGTGCATAGAGCCCCCCTCTCCCCCTGGGTCATCAGACCTTCCCGTTTCTTCCACCCGATCCGCCCACTCGGTTGGGAACGAGGATGGTAGCTTCGGGTGGCACACCGCGCCAGGCTCGGGCACACCAAACCAAGTCCCGAACCAGAATACAAGGAGGTATGGGCAGGTGAACCAGCTGAGCCTGGACGCGTCCAGGAGCTCGGGGCATTCGGTCGGGATGATCAAAGCAGCCTCGGTTTCAGGTTCGGGCAACCACGGCCCGGCATTTGGTTCGGCGCCAGGCTCGGGCCAAGGCTTGGGAAGCAGCCCCAGGCCTGGCTTGGGGTCGCCCATGCCTGGGGGGTCCCCTAGAGTCCCCCGAGGGTTTGGGTCCCTGGTGATGGGGGGGATGGCAGGAGGAGCAGGGGGAGGAGGGGGAGGAGTAGTAGCAGGAGGAGGAGCAGGAGCAGGTGCAGCAGGGGGAGGTGCGACAGCGGGGGGTACGACAGGGAAAAATGTAACAGGGGGGGGTGCGACAGGAGGGGTTGCAGGAGCTACTGGTGCGTCCAGGAGGCAGAGATTCACGCCCCCTCCTCTTCCCTCCCACTCCTTCGCCTCTGCTGCATCCTCTCCCCTCCCCAGCCCCACAGCAGCCGCTGCTCCCACCAGTCCCATCATACCTTCTGCTGCCGCCGATCCAGCCACGCCCACACCCACTGCTACCGCACCTAACACCTCCAGTTCCAGACCCTCTACTCCCACCATCCCTACTGCCCCCGCCGCCAGTCCCAGGCCCCCCACTCCCACCGCCCCCACTGCCTCCTCCGCTGCTCCCACTGCCCCCGTTCTCACCGCTCCCATTCCCACCGCCCCCACTCCCACCATCCCTAGCAGCAGCAGCAGCAGACAGAAGCTACTCCAAGACTACTTGCCTAGGCGGTGGCAGTTGGTGTCACGACTTGGAGGGCGGCTCAGGCTGGTGGTTGATCGGGGCACAGGGCAGCAGCTGGTGGTGCAGCGAGTGCATGTGGGGGGGAGGGGGGGGGGAGCGGGGGAGGGAGGGGCGCAGGGAGAGAGGGGAGTGGCGGGGCAGTCAGGGCAGTCGGAGAGGGAGCGGCGGATGCACCAGCGGGTTGCCTTGCTGCTGAAGCTCAAGTGAGTGTTGGGTTGAGGGAGAGGGAATTTCTCTCCAAATATGAGACGTTTTTAAGCTCAAGTGAGAGCTCAGCTCATTTGCCCAAGAGCATTTTCCCACCAGTTGTGAAATTTCTTACAAGTCCAAATGCACTGTGCTCTTTTCTCCCTCCTTCGTCCGTTCCTTACCCTGTCCCCTGCTTCCCCCGCTCTCCTGGCCCCCCTTCCCCAGGCATGAGAACATCGTGCCATGCGTCGGGGCCATTCGCACCACCGCCCCGTCCCCCGCCACTGCCTGCACCAACGCAAGTGCCAGCCACAACAACAACAACAACAACAACAACAACAACAACAACAACAACAACAACAACAACAACAACAACAACAACAACAACAACAACAACAACAACAACAACAACAGCAGCAGCATTGGCGGCAGCGGCGGCGGCACGGGCAGTGGGGCCGGAATTCACCTGCTGTTTGCGGCGTTTGACTATGTGCCCGTGCCGTCGCTCTCCCACCAGCTCACAGAGTGCGGCCCCATGCCCGAAGAGACTCTGGCCTTCTGCCTTCGCCAGGTAGTCGAGGTGCTGGTGGCGTTTCACTCCCTCGGCATCCCGCACGGCCGCGTGCGCACCAGCAGCGTGTTCGTTCCCGACGATGGCGTTGTGAAGCTCGCTGGGACCTCGTTCCTGGATGGAGAAGGAAAGGGAGGGGAGGGAGGGGAGGAGAGAGAGGGAGGAAGGGAGGAGGGAGAGGAGGGAGGGGAGGGGAGGGGAAGAAGCAAGGTGCCGTGGTGTTCCCCTGAAGAGATCAGAAAGGTGAGCGTGCTGCAAATGTTCTGCTGCGCACTGGCTGTGCCACCATTGCCCCTCTTGTTACCCCTGCACTGCCCCTTCTCTCACCTTGCACCATTCTTTGCCCTTGTTTCTCTCTACTCGAATCTCTGCGTCTCTTCCTGCCGCCTCTCAACCTCTCTCCTCATCTTCTCCTTGTGCCCTCCCGCTTCTTTTTGCCTCCCCATCCTCTCTCGTTCCGACATCCGTTTTTTCTTTTTTCTTCTTTTTTTTCCTCATCTTCTGCTCCTTGTTCCCTCACTACCTACCCTTTTGCCAAGCAGGAGACAGTGGGAGCGGCAGCAGACGTGTGGGCAGTGGGCTGTCTGGCAGTGCACATGGCAACGGGAGCGCTACCATGGGCACAAGTGGGGGACGAGGACCAAGTGCGGCTCTTCATTGCGCACAGCAGGGCTCTGCCCGACCTGCCGCCCGATTCCTCACCACAGCTCATTGATTTTGTCGCGACCTGTTTGGACCGGGATCCATCCCGCCGCCCGACAGCCGCCCGGCTTGTCGACCATCCTTTTCTAGCAGCATGCTAGCAAAACGGTTTATTGCTTATGTTTTGTTTGGTTGAAAGTGTTTGTTTTCTCTGCAGTGCAAAGCAGGGTTATAAGTACCAGTAGCTCTAAAATTTTTGGGGGGAGGGGAGGAGTAGCTGACTGGTTGCTCGTCACCTCCTTGTAAGGCAGCTTTCTAGTCAGAATTATAGAGCAAAATATAAATGGCTTCGCCTCATGTATTGGTTATAGTTTAAGTATGCTTGTGACACAATACTCTCAGTATGTATGTGGTTGGGTTCTCCTTTTGTGAAGTGAATATATATTTGAGTATGCTTATAAAACAGTTAACTCCTCGGAAAACCTTTCTTTGAGGATGGCCAGACAGAGGAATCTGTCATTATTACATCCAACGAGAATCTCTACAGCGCAGATCCCTGTACCCCTATCTCAGATTCAAGGCTGTGTCAGCTGCGACATCGCTTGAGCGAGTCCCTGTCGCATCCAGGGCTTGTGATCCAGCCTGCAAACTTCGTGCATTTCGCGAGGCGGCAAGCATGACGAGTTGAGTCAGCAGATCGTAGCTTGCTAACTCTGGCATCGCCGCCGAGCATTCGTGTAATGGACGGCAGGGATTTAAACATTTCATGAATCTCCCTCCCGTTGCTTGCGAGCGTTTCAGGGGTTTCGAGACTGGCGCAAGGTGCTTCTCCATGCGACTCCTGGGCGATTCCTCGCGACGCTTTTGCCTGCGACTGTCGCAAGTGCTGCTGAGGCCCAGCACTTCACGCTCTTTCGATATTGTCCCGCTACAAGCACTGTCGGCGTCGCAACAGGTTATCGCTTGCTCTTGAGAAGACTCGCGTCGCAGCTTCGCATTATTGTCGCCGTCCGCGCACCAGACTCCGAGGCTGCGGAAGCTGCAATCGCCGCTTTCGCTGCCGCTGCTGCTGCTACAGCAGCTCTCTTCTGCGAAACCGTCGCAGGGAATGCACAAAATAGTCGTAACGTGTCGCACAGATGCCTCTGTGAGACGGGTGGCGATCTCATCATTAGCTGTTGAGCCTACAGCTCTTGCCGGAATCCTGTCGCAACGACCGCTACTCAAGCAGCTGGCACGCACGTCTCCGTCGCCTGGCGACGGCTTTGGGTCGCAAGCGTCGTTCGTGCCGTCGTACGACATGATGGCGTCAATATCTATGTCGTCAGGCAACCACGGTGACGAATCCTCCTTCCCCTTGAGGCCCGTGTCGCAAGGGAAGCTGCTGTTGCCGAAACGCATCGTCAACGCTTCAGAAAAGGACTGTCTTCAATAACTTGAAAAATGAACGATTCTTATTCGGAGGTACACAAGCAGTAGTACGCGAGATGATACTAGTGGAGCAGCAAGGAGTGAAGCAGTGAAGGATTGATTTCACGTTGTATGCTGGCTGTCAATGAAACTTCAGGGCCGAACATCTGTCCGCTAATGGTTCCCCTTTTTTTTAACAGCCAAGAATGGAGAGTAGCAGACTGAAGAGACGCAGAGCGTGCAATCCCAAGGCCTGTTGCTGGTCCTAGAAGCGCGCAGAAGTTATTTTTAATCGACATCTCGCCAAAGCCGCAACTTGCATGGATGCTAAGTATGGAATGCCAGTGGAGGGCTGGTAGTTGAAAATGGAAACTTGCCGCAAGGGTGAGGCGGTGAAGTGTTCGAATCGAACGAAGTGAGGTGGAAGTGTAAGAGTGACGTGGAAGTCCAAGGTGTGTGAACGAGGTACTTCTGTTCTGATCCGTACCTACTCTGTGTGAAGAAGGAAACGGAATCCGTACCGCACGGTTCAACCAGTGGCCCTGTGAGTTGTCGTGACGTAGCGTGTCGGTGCCCCTGATACACAACCAGCCAAGCAAAACCAGGTGGAGAGTGGGTGTCCATCCCAGTGGGATGCTTGTGTGCCCAGCTGTGGTTTGAGATGGGTCCGCACATAGGCGCAACTGGGCCCAGCTGCATGAAACGAACATATCGTATCGATTATACTTGGTGCCTGGCCAACTCCTGTGTTTTATGAAGTGTGAATTACCCTCATTTCTCTGAAATCTTCGAAACCAACTCCCACGACTTCCAACCAAGTAGCGCTGGTGGGAGGTTCTCAAAACCGTGCATGAAGGCTGTGATCACTATTTTACAGACGAATTCTAGGACAAGCCTGACATTTTGAGTGTAGTTCTGTCGACGAATACACGAGAATTCTATACTATTCCAGTTTTTTTACATCGTAACTATGGGACATGTTGTGTCTTGGAACTCCTTCAGTTGCTTCACAATTTAATATTACAAGGGGCACAACGTCTGAACCACCTGTTCTCTTCTCTTCGTGGCTCAGAACGTTTCCACATAGTGGCAAGAGCTTCGCACCGAACGTACAGGAGAGGTAGGAGCTGGCACCAGGTTCTCAGAGCTTAACGTTCAGGGTTTAGGGCGGGTCACACTTAGTTCGTTTTCATATCATTTAAAATGGTTGAAAATAATGGTTTGTTCGCTTCGCCGCGCCGTGATACGTGAACTGTAAACAAATCAATTGTGACCTGCCCTTAGTTGAGCACCTTATTTAAGTATCAACAATTTTCTTACCACATTACATCACGTTACCGATGTGCGTTGTTAAAAAGGAGAGAGGCACTTCTCAACGCACCTTATCTCACCTCAACCACTGCTTCTCCCGTGTTATGTCAACGGAATACCTGTTACTCTTGAATTTATTGAACCATATTACGACTTAGGCGGGAATCCATATTCCGATAGAACGTCTCTTGCTGGCCATTCCCCTACGTCAGGACTGTCGTCACTGGCCGAAACAGCTGGAGGTTTCTTGGCGCTCGTCCGTTATGTAACGAAACTAGGGGACATTGGTACGCATTGATGGTGATGATATTAACTTTTTAAAAGTGGCAATGATTGAATTTTAATCAGAGTATTATATTTAATATTTTATTTCAGAAACACAAGCATTTACTGGCCGGGGGTGAAGTTGGTGGCATAAGCCCAGGCGTTGTTCACGGTGGGGTCAGCCAAGTGGTCGGACAGGTTCTCAAGGGGACCCTTGCCGGTCACGATGGCCTGGACGAAGAATCCGAACATCGACACCATGGCGAGGCGGCCGTTCTTCAGCTCCTTCACCTTCAGCTCCGCGAGAGCGTCGGGGTCGTCAGCCAGACCCAGGGGGTCGAAGGCACCGCCGGGGTACAGTGGGTCCTCAACCTCCTGGAAGCCCTCGAGGCCACCCACGCGGTAGCTCTCAACGGCGCCCATCAGGATGACCTGGGTAGCCCAGATGGCCAGGATGGACTGCGCGTGGATCAAGCCGGGGTTGCCGAGGTAGTCGAGGCCGCCCTCGGAGAAGATCTGGGCACCGGCCTTGAACCACACAGCCTCGCCGAACTCGACGCCGTTGTTGGCCAGGAGCTCGGGGGTCAGGCAGCCCAGGGCGCCGAGAAGAGCCCAGCGGGCGTGGATCACCTCCAGCTCGCGGTTCTTGGCGAACGTCTCGGGGTCGGCGGACAGGCCCGCTGTGTCCCACCCGTAGTCACCGGCATACTCGCCGTTGAGGTACGACGGGGGGGAGGAGAAGGGGCCCAGGAACTGGGGGCGATCGGGGCCGTAGAAGGAGCTGGCGGGGGCGGCCTTGGCCGTCTTCCTCATGGAGACGCGAGCCTCCACATTGTTGACCTTGGCGGCGAGCTCAGCGCTCTGGCCGACGAAGGTGGAGGGAGCAACAGCGGCGTTAGCGAGGGCAGCCATTTCTGTCTGCTTGAAGAGATGTATGGGTGTTCGGAAGTGCTGCTGGAGCTTGGGAATAACGTGAAAGTGGGGGGATCTTGTAGGGCTGGCTGATCAATTCCCCTGATCCGACACACTCGGGAAATTTTGAGTTTCGTAGGGAATTGGTGATTGCTCGAGTCGCGCGCAATCAGTTTGATGTCGGGGCTGCTGGATAGCCATGTGATGTGTCCCTCCAGATTTTTACGAAAGTCACGTCGCTCGCTCTGATTGGCCTTCCGAATTGCGGGTGACTCGCGACGGGCACACTCAATCCCATCACGATGGGACTCGCTACCACAAAAGGACCACAAGTCGATAACTAGCATACAGTGTCTTAAATTATACAAATATTTGCTAACTTTGGAGTCTCAAACAGCACAAAACTGCCTCGACCTTCCTAACTTTGGTTGGGTGTGACCCAGTAGGTACTGACTCACTTCGCATTTTGTCGGGACAAATTTCGCCACGCGAAATTACTGTACTAGCGAGAGCGATACAGTAGCAGTGACGATTTCGCACACAGTTTTCAAGCCCGTCCGAAACTGTTGCGAACTAATTAGTACGTTGCATTCAACATCTGACACCACCCTGGTTCGCGCGCCACTCGCATCCTTTCCTAAGTTAGAAACCTTTGGAACTCCGAGCTACCATATTTTACGTATTTAACGTATTTGAAACTTTTGGAACTCCTCCTAGGTTTTGACGTATTTATTTCCTCATGAACCGAGCTACCAGCCACATGACCACATATTTCTGATCAGCCTTTTAGAATGCATAATTAGAAGCATCAAGAATTGTATACATTGGTTCGCACAATGTGGTCGCTTTACATTCCAAAGATAGCCTAGCTCACAAATACAAATGAAAAAAGGAGCCTAGTTCAACTGACCTCCACCCACCCCAGCAACAGTCACACAGCCAACCCATCCACATAACCCTTCAGTCCCCCTCCTCTCTCAGGCTGCCTCAGCTTCAACAGCGCCTTAGACTCAATCTGCCGAATCCTCTCTCTTGTCACCCGGAACATAACCCCCAGCTCCTCCAGGGTCTTGGAACGCCCGTCGTCCAGCCCGTAGCGGTGCCACATCACCTCCCTCTCCCGGGGCGTGAGTGTGCCGAGCACCTGCTGTAGGTCTCGCTTCAGCAGCTGCTGCATCATGAGCTCCTCTGGACACTCCAGTGTTAAGTCCTCCACAAATGACTGCTCGCGTGTTCAGGGGAGATTGGGGAGAGGGGATGGGTAGTGGTTGGTTGAGAAATTAGTGAGAAGGGATGTGTCGGAGAGAAGGGGAAGTTATCTGTGGGGTGTGACACACATCGAAGACACAGGCTTGATCCAAAAACGAAGAAGGTAGGCAGCACAGAGGTGAGCATGAGCCGGACAGAAAAGAGACAGACGATGGGGAGAAGAGAGGAGACGGATGAAGGAGTGTGCCTTTGCCATTGGAGCGGACAATTGAAGGGGGCGGGGTGGGGGTGGGAAGAATGGGAGATGGAAGGGAAAACGTGGCTAGCTTACCCTGAACGTGACTTCCCTATCGGAGATGGGTCGGTCCATGGAGCAAGGATGGAAAGCTATCCGTGGGCTCCAATGCATTCAAGCCCACACGGCCAGTTTAAACGCAGGCCCTGTCTGAACGCGAGACTAAAAAGCGGCTCACGACGAGCATGTCCTCTCCTCCCTATCTCCGGGTTTCAACACATTCAATTCAAGACACACGCCCAGTCCCGGTTTAAAAGCAGGACAAGCAAGCAGCTCACTCACCCCGAGTGTGTCTTCGCCTTCAGAGGAGATGGGGCGGTCCATGGAGCAGGGCGCACGCACGTTGCGCACGGCCGCGCGCAGCTTGGCGGGGGTGAGCCCCACGAGGCCTGCCAGCTCGCTGTCGGACGGCAGCCGCCCCAGCTGCTCCCACAGCAGGTCGCGCGCCTTGGCAATGCGCGATAGCAGCTCGTAGATGTGCACCTGGGGAGAAGAGAAAGAGGACGGCAGAGGAGAAAAAAAAGCATTCAAGTTGATGTGTGAGTTGACTTATCAGCCGCCCCAGCTGCTCCCACAGCAGGTCACGCGCCTTGGCAATGCGTGATAGCAGCTCGTAGATGTGCGCCTGGAATGAGTAATGGGGGGATGAGAGGAGGGTGGGGCGGAAAAAGGACCTCTTAAGTTGAAGTTTGGATCAACAGACGGGATAGCATGTCATGGTGCAAGGTGGTGAGGGGAGGTGACACACGGAGGGAGGGTGGTGCGGTGAGAGGGAGGAAAGCGAGGCGCACCGTGGGAGGGGAATGGGGAGGTAGCCAGACACCAGGGCTTGCTCACAGGGGGTATGCTTATGCCAGGTATGCTTATGGCGGGTATGCTTATGGCGGGTATGCTTATGCCAGGTACGCTCATGGCAGGTATGCTTATGGCGGGTGAGCTTAGTGTGGGACCATGTGATGGGTTACGGGGTGATGGCATAGCATGAAGAAGACTCGGTAGTCACACTCGTTACAAGCACACAAACACTCACCGGGAGGCGCACGGTGCGGGTCTGCTCGGCGACGGAGCGGGTGATGGCCTGGCGGATCCACCAGTGCGCGTACGTGGAGAACTTAAAGCCCCGCTTGTGGTCGAAGCGCTCTATGCCCTTCATCAGCCCCATGCACCCCTCCTGTCGCGCGCAGCCACGGGCACAGGGGCAAGCAGAAGCAAGGACGGACACGAGCATGCAGAGATTAGACAAGTGTACAAAGGAGAGGGCGTGTCAGGGAGTGGCCGTGTCTGTGCGCCAGGGAGTGGACGAGAGCACCTGTGAATGGTACGGACAGTGGTGACGGTGTGAGGGGAGGGATGGGGGGGGGAAATGGGGGGGGGGGGGGGGTTGGGAGAATTTCTCTCATCAACCCACGTTTCAACCTCCACACTCGTTTCCCTTTTCTCTCTTGAACCACGCGGTACCACGTTGAAGTATCTCATTCCGCTGTACCGTTACCGCACGTTTTCGTATCCCAAACCATCTGCACTCTTTCCAACCAACCCACCAACCTCCTCTCAGCTTCTCGCCTCACCCTAATCCCCTCCTGCCCGCCTCCCGCCGCAGGACGTCGCACTGAGAACAAGCTCCTCCAGCCCGAGCGTTCTATTTGAAAGCGCAATGTGCACTTCCCACGATGAGTACATTCCCGCAACTGTTTACAAACAAAAACAGAAATGAGGCAGATGCGTGGGGCTCACCGTGATGAGTTCCTGAAGCCCGACTCCCCCGCGGCAGTATTTCTTCGCGACGCTGATCACCAGCCGCATGTTGCTCGCCATCATCGCCTTCTTGCACTCGCGCCCGCGCGCCTCCCGCCGCCGCAGCTCCACCACCGACAACCCCGCCGCCTCCGCCCATTCCTCCATCGTCACCGCGCGCCCCAGCGCCTTGTCCGCCGCGTCTCGCGCTCGCTCGAGCTTCAGGAGCTCCTGGACGCCTTTGGAGTATTCTATTTCCTCCGCGGCTGTGAGCAGGCGCGAGTTACCCCCCGCGGATTCGAACATGGCGAAGATCGGGTCGTTCGACACTCGGCGAAACTCCTCCAGCGTCAGGTCCTTCTCTTCGCCGGCTTCTGGTAACTCTTTCGCCGGGGCTTTGGGTGATCGCTTCGCGGGTTTCGCAGCGGAGCGGGAGGGAGTGAGTAGGAGGAGGGAGTCTAAGGACGAGTTGGGGAGGGAGGACCGGTTGGCATACCTCTTTAATCGCGCCTTCTCTCTCTGCTCCATGCGCACCCCTTTCCGCCTGGACTTAACTAAGGTGCGTACACTACGCGGTTTAGGTTGACCTGTTGCCTCGGTACTATCACCGTCGCTGCTGTCACCACTGGCATCTCTCTCGCTTAAGTCACCTTCGCTAAGAGCAGAAACTGAAGCGTCATTCTGCGACGGGCTGCTGTCGCCACCCTGTCTCGGCGACGATCCAGGGAACGCCAACGACCAATCGTCGGTCAGCATTGCGCTGCTCGTCCTCTCTGAAGCTACAGACTCTGAACGGACCAATCTGGTGCTGCCACGTGAATTCGCCGCCCCTTCTTCCTCCTCCCACCAGAAACCACCCGCCTGTCGTAGCAAGTCGGCATTCGTCAGGTCGCCGATCAACGCGCTGCGAGCCGGAAGAAACCTCCTAGCGTCGCTACCAAGCTGCATGTTCCTGGAAGCTTCACGCGGAGTCAGGAGAGGAACCGGAGCGCCTGCAGCCATCCACACGCTTCGTAACTCCTCCTGCCCTAGCTCCTCCCCCACCTCGATACAATCACGCCAGCTGCTCTCGACCGGCGTCTTAAAGGAATCGTTCGTTGTAGTCACCTGTCGCAGCATGGCCCTCTCTATAGTCGCGAGCTGCGCTGCCTCTTTCGCGACGAGCGCGGCCGTCTGTGCGAGGTACAGCGCCTCGGCTGCTAGCGACTCCACTCGCGCGTCAGACGTGGAGGCGAATCGCTGTGCGACTGCATTGCGCTGTGCGACGGCATTTCGCTGTGCGACGACGTTGTGCGACAAGCGAGAGTCCGTGAGCTCGCCGACGCAGCCGGAGGCGGCAGAGGCGGCGGAGGGCGCAGAGAGATGCGGATCGACGCGACGAGGAGGAGAGGCATCGGTGCGACTGGATAAGGAGACAACAAGACAGGAGGGAGGGAGGGAAGAGGTACGACTGTTGAGAAACATCTACGAGTGATGTACGAGACATACGAGACGGAAGGATGTAGGGAAGGGGAAAATATATGTGAAAACAGACGGAAACAGGATAGGAATATGATGTGATTTTAATGCAGAATGTGCTATGGTCCGAGTAAGCATATTAGAAATCTAACGCTTCGGGTTTGATTATAGGATTATGAAGCAGACACGCGAGCGATAAACGACTTACTTGTAACTGGAAATAGCTGATGAGGGGCGAAGGAAGACGCGAGAAGGACTGGACGTGGAGTGAGGGGTCGGAGCCGACGACGACGACGAGCACACGACGTCTGCGAAAGGTGCGACGGTTGGCTTGGCGACAGGAACGACGGCGTCGCCGAGAGGCCGTCGCACGAAGAGGACGGACGTGGACGAGCCGACCGCCGGGCTGCTTCCTGCACGACGGGAGGAAACGAAACGACACGAGATACCACTGGGCACATGAAACGACATGGGCTGTACAAAGGCGAGTGGTTCAGGCTGAATGTTCTGAGAACAGCTGAAGTACGCACACCGTGAACCACACAGCAGTGACACTACACTGGTAGGAGATAACGTGGGTTAGAAACTCTTGACACTAGATGACAGTTATTTGTAATATCTTCTCCAAGTTTGATAAATACGGTGAGCAGAGAGACTCATTAAGTTGCAGGATTTCGCACCTGGCCTTTCTGGCGGCGACCTATCGATTAAGAAAGCCGCTCGGACAGAAGCGGCGGAGACGGCCATCCTTCCGACGGATACAGTCGGAAGGCACTACAAGCTCGTCCCGATGAAACGCCCTCGTTAGCTTCGAGATACGCAGGCTCCAAGTGGTCCCGACTAAACAAGTCGGCTCGCTGAAAGCAAGGTAAAGAACAAGTGGTCCGTCACAAGAGCAGGTAGGTGCCTGCCTGCCTGCTGATGGGACGGATAGAGACTTGTTCTGTGGCGTGTTGTATGTGCTTGAACGGGTTTTTTCCTTGCAGCAATCAGCATTCAGCACTGCCTGATGCTGTCAGCCATGGCTCATGCAAGTCAGCGAGCCGTTGGAGTTGGGTTTGGCTGGGGATGCGTGATTTGGGGAGATACAATGGGGAAGGTAGGGGCGGATGAGGGAAGAGAATCAGCAATTTTTGAAGAGATACGGGACGGTGGAAAACAAACTAAAAGGTGTGAGAATGGTTAAGGCTGGTTGGGACATTTATTGCAGTGGCGTGTGGAGGGGGGTGGGGGAGAGGCAGGACAAGCTTGTGCGGAGCCGTTGCGGGAATTCAGATCTTTTTCTGTGTTGTGCGATTGGTGGCCGCGCTTCACTGTGCTGGTTGCAGGGCAAGGAGAAACCCTCGCGTACACGACAGGTGGAATTGATGTGGCAAAGCTTGAGGAACTGGATGACATGGCGGAGATGGATGCCACACCAACCGAACATTGCTGCCACTTTGGGTTGTCACCTCGTGGAGAAAAGACTTGCGGTGCGAACTCGCCTGATCCAGCCACACATCTGTCCACGCTACACAAAGAAGGAAGTGGATATGCGAGTGGCTAAGGATGACCTGGCACTCTGCTTCCCATTCGAAACAAAAAGACCTCCCAACAGATCCAGGACTTGCGGAAAGCGGCATGCGGTTCAGGGTGGTTGGCGGGCATCGGCGGGAATACTGGTCAGCACAACCAGAAAGCCAGCGTGGAACGTTGATGACATGGAAATCCCCGATACTTCACCGCTTACGAACTAGCAATATTGGAAATCCCTAGTGTACTAACGTGAAAATTAGCAGACTAGCGGGAATTCATCATCTTCAAAGGACATGAACTGCACTGCACAGCACGTGCCTTGTCAAATGAGAATTGCTCGAAACTTCACCCTAACTAAAGAAATGTAAACAACGTGCATGTATAGTGTACTCGCATCACCAAAACAAAAATGTAAACAAGCCGCCCTTACATGCACAACTTGGATTTCGACCGTATACAAGTGAATTCATTGACGACTAGCAAAAAAACATTTGCTGTTCCATCCATAAACGTCAAACAAGGCAGTCAGAAAGGGTTCAATAATGCTCTGAACTGAAGTGCACAATATCCTGAATGGACGAACATTGGGGGGGGGGGGGGAGGAGCCATCCAGATGCCGTCAATCGAGCATAACCTCGGTTGCGATATTCTGCGGGCGCAACTGCTGTCGAGGTGCAAGTTGTTTCATTCAGTGGTCTACCAACAAGAACGCAGAAAGTTACAGGCTGCAGCGAGCAGCTTACAAAGCAGAAAGTTCTCCTTGATTAAACATGCACTATCCCTCCACTGGACGGAGAAATCAACGAAGATAGTTTTGACATATCAGCTGGAGGTGATTCGGCTCAAGACAGAATAATAGTTTGACGTGATGAAATTCAGCGATTCTTTTCCATTCGTTGCACTCAGTGTGGGTTGTATTTTGTTGTATTCAACAAGTATTTCTGAATTGTCCTAAAACTATATTATGTAGCAATATACAAAGCATTTACTGGCCGGGGGTGAAGTTGGTGGCATAGGCCCAGGCGTTGTTCACGGTGGGGTCAGCCAAGTGGTCGGACAGGTTCTCAAGGGGACCCTTGCCGGTCACGATGGCCTGGACGAAGAATCCGAACATCGACACCATGGCGAGGCGGCCGTTCTTCAGCTCCTTCACCTTCAGCTCCGCGAGAGCGTCGGGGTCGTCAGCCAGACCCAGGGGGTCGAACGCACCGCCGGGGTACAGGGGATCCTCAACCTCCTGGAAGCCCTCGAGGCCACCCACGCGGTAGCTCTCAACGGCGCCCATCAGGATGACCTGGGTAGCCCAGATGGCCAGGATGGACTGCGCGTGGATCAAGCCGGGGTTGCCGAGGTAGTCGAGGCCGCCCTCGGAGAAGATCTGGGCACCGGCCTTGAACCACACAGCCTCGCCGAACTCGACGCCGTTGTTGGCCAGGAGCTCGGGGGTCAGGCAGCCCAGGGCGCCGAGAAGAGCCCAGCGGGCGTGGATCACCTCCAGCTCGCGGTTCTTGGCGAACGTCTCGGGATCGGCGGACAGGCCCGCGGTGTCCCACCCGTAGTCACCGGCATACTCGCCGTTGAGGTACGACGGGGGGGAGGAGAAGGGACCCAGGAACTGGGGGCGGTCGGGGCCGTAGAAGGAGCTGGCGGGGGCGGCCTTGGCCGTCTTCCTCATGGAGACGCGAGCCTCCACATTGTTGACCTTGGCGGCGAGCTCAGCGCTCTGGCCGACGAAGGTGGAGGGAGCAACAGCAGCGTTGGCGAGGGCAGCCATTTCTGTCTGCTAGTTAATGTTGGAAGATGTTGTGTTGGTTGTTGTTGCTGAAGCTTGTCCGAAAAGCTGGTTTAGTGTTGCTTTTGAATTGCTCGTTCGACAGCGGGAAGGGGAACGAAGGAGGCAGGGTGAGGAGAAGAGCAACTGCGAAAAGTCGTCGTTTGGTGGGAAACGCAATCGTCGTGACGCTACGATTGGTGCAAAATCCTAACGATGAGATTCTGGCATCTCCGCCAGACAATTTGGATTGGTGTGCAAAATTTCCAGGAGAGTCGAAATCCTACCGAAACAACGAATGGTCATTCACTTTGGGCGATCTCGAGGTTCAGTGCCATTGGTTCAGTTTTCCATCAGCGATATTGTTGACTACGGTATATGATGAAGACTTCTGTGCAATGCATGGGCTGGGCATTGTATATCATGGTTAACTGTAAGGAATTTTCTCGCTATTCCTTACCGCGACCGTCAACATCGCATACAACAGCAGCCGTTGTTCGCTCGTTACTGCTAACGGGGCTTCGCCAACTTTGCGCGCACTGTTTCACCAAACCTCGCACTGCTGGAGCAGCCGAGTCGGCCTACGCTTCGGGACTAGCCCGAACCTCGCGCCAGCGTAGCACTAGCTAGCTCGCACGCACCGCGTTACCGTTTGCACATTTTCGCGTATAAGTATTCGCTCATGCCTTCGCTCATACCGTATTACCCCGGATATAGGCGCATATGCGCTTATAATAAATTCATTTTTTTTAGGGGGGGCGCTTGTAATTGAGTAACGGGCGCTTATATAATGACAAATACGAAATTATATATTTAGATCACCAAATTGTTCATTTTCTTCTTGCCATTTCAACCGAGTCGAAATGCTTTAGCGTCACAAAACAAAATCTCGCGCAAGCGATATTCTGGGTGCACACACAGGCAAAGACACGTCATGCCAGCAGATCCTGACTAGACGTGCAGCCAGTCAGGTCTTCGTGAGTCAAACCAAGCGAAATCGAAATCTGACTCGCTGCAAAAATGAATTTCGTTACCGTTTTAAGCAAGAATTTAAACTAGAATTGCACGTGCGCTTATAATAAGTAAACGTTTTCTAGGGGGGGCGCTGATAATCAAGGAACGGCCATAAGCGCCATGCTCCAGATAGAGGCGCCGGCGCCTTTAATCGGACGGCGCCTATATCCGGGGCCATACGGTACTTTGTACTCATTGAACACTCTAGTGCAATCCTTGCTACCTCGATTCATTGCACCCGTAACATTAACATATATAAGTAAAACAAGTATGCGGCTTTGCGGAACTTGGATTCTACAATCTTGGCAGTTGATTCAGCGTGGTACATGATACCGGTATGAGGGCTGATGAAAATACCTATTTCACCAGATTGATGGGGGCGTTTCACATTGTTAGTTCTGGTGCTGGCTTCGAGCGTTCTCTCAAAGTAGGAATGCAACGGAATGATGAGATTAGGAATGTGGGTGATACAAATAGCAAACCCTAACTGAGTTGTACTCACTAAGGAGCACCTCACTACAGCCTATCACAAATATCAACATTTGACACATCCCCATAGGCTAAGTGAGGGGCATCAAAGCAAGCAGGGTGAACAAACGGTCACAAGACCAGTCAATGCAAGAAGCAAATCAAGCTCAGGGTGGATCTCAAGGACACCACACAAATTCTAAGCACAAGCAAGCGGCCACAAGGCCAGTTCAAGAGTTCACTAGGATATATAATAGCAAAGGACAACAAGCAGAGCAAGCAACAAGGCTACAGCAACCGAGGACCTGCCTCAACAAGCCCTAACTGCACACAGAACCGGTGGTGATCACCAGGGGCCAAGGCCTTGGTGAAGAGGTCAGCAGTGTTGGCCTCTGAGGCCACAAAGTCCAGGCGCACCTGGCCGCGTCGCTGTAGCTCACGCAGGAGGAAGTACCGGACGTCGATGTGCTTCACCATGGTCTCCAAATGAGGCTCGTGACACAAGAGAATCATGGCCTTGTTGTCAGCGAACAAGGTCGGAGCAGTGTGAGGTCGCTCACCAAGGTCAGCGAGCAAGAAGGTCAACCAGCGAAGCTCCTGCGCAGCCATAGCACCGGCGTAGATCTCTGCCTCTGCACTGGACGAAGCCACCGAAGACGACCGTGTGGACCTCCACGACACAACCCCAGCTCCCAGACTGAAACAGTAACCCTGGGTCGAGCGCTGAGTCTCCATGTCGTCAGCGTAAGAAGAGTCATAGAGGCCAGTCAGCTCAACTGGCCGAGTCCCTCCAAGCACAAGCCCCATGCCTGATGTAGTCGCCAGGTACTTTGCCACCCTCATGGCAGCCGTCCAGTGAACAGGATGGTGCCTCCCAGGTCCAACAAAGCGAGAGAGGACGCTAAGAGGGTAGGCGAGGTCTGGTCGAGTACAGGTCATCAGGTACATGAGGCAGCCAACAAGCTCTGGGTAGGGACCACTGGGCTCAAAGGGCTCGTTGGGGAAGGGGCCGGTGAGTCTGTGGTCTACAGCAAGAGGAGTGGGCTGTGTGGTAGAGAACTGAAGCCCGAACCGCTGAAGGACCTGCTGCACCATGTGTGACTGAGTCAACGTGATGGTGCGAGCGGCTCTGTCCCTGGTGATCTGCAGGCCAAGGTAGCGCTGAAGTTCACCAAGGTCAGTGCACGTGTGCCTCTTCTGCAGTTCGGACTTCACCTCAGCCATAGCTGCCCTGTCTGGTGTAGCAAAGACCAAGTCGTCGACGTAGACGAGTATAAAGAAAGGAGTGGAGCCGGCACGAACAAACAGTGACGGGTCAGCAGAGGAAGGGCGAAACCCTAGGTCACGAAGCGTGGAGCAAAGAGTGTCATGCCACTCACGGGGCGACTGGCGGAGACCGTAGACTGACCACCTCAGGCTCCACTGGGTCCCAGTAGGGAAAGTACCAGTGAAACCAGGAGGACAGCGCAGCCAGATCTCCTCGTGCAGTCGTCCCTGGAGAAAGGCAGTGGAGAAGTCGAGGGAGTGGAGCTCGTAGTCACGCTATGCTGCTACGTGTAGTAACACCTGAAGTGTAGTCATCTTCAGGGTCGGAGCGAAGGTCTGAAAGAAGTCAACTCCCTCGCGCTGACTGAAGCCTCTCGTCACATAGCGCGCCTTGAACACCGGGGGTGATCCAGGCGGCCGCTTCACCTTGAAGAGCCACATGCCATCAAATACGTTCGCCCAGGGAGGGGGAACTGCGTTGACGTACGTGCCTGTGGATCTCCAAGACGCCAACTCTAAGTCCATGGCCGCCTTCCACTGAGAGGCCCACAGCCCTGACACTGCCTCACGGTACGTGCGAGGAGTCGGTATGTCAAGGGCGTCAGGGTCTCCCTCAGGGGAAAGCATCATGGCACAGAGAGTGGGAGAAGCGACTGCCAGGTACTCCAGCTCAGAGTGTCTGTCCTCTAAGACGTCACAGCCAAGGGCAAAATCACCCCCGACGGACAGAGGACGGGTAGGTGGAGCGGGCACCACACGAGTGGTGTAGTCAAGACGGCTAGCGGCGGCAAAGTCAGCGACAGCGGCAGTGAGAGCCGAGACAGACGACGGAGAGAAACGAGGGTTGGTGACACCAGTGGCTAGAACGCGGGAGACAACAGGGCGAACAGCACGGTAGTAGTCGGAGATAGGAGTAGGGGAGACAGGAAGATAAGACGGAGGAGGAGACGAGAGAACTGACACCGGAGGAGGAGAACAACGAAGAGAGGTACAAAGGAGGGCAGTGTGGAGGTTGGTAACGGGGGACGAGGGATGAGCACTCGAAGGAGGAGGAGACTGTGGTGGAGGAGAAAACCAGACCGCCGGACGGGGGTCAGGAGGAGAAAACGTAGGACCAAACTCAGGAGGAGACGGCGGGTAGACAGGAGGAGAGGAGGGAAGACCAAGGGCACGGAGGCCACTCACGGGCGGGAACAACTACCGCTCCAGAGGGAGCTGCTGCGGCTGCTGTGGCGGCGGCGGCTGCTGCTGCTGCTGCTGCTGCTTTTGCTCCAGCAGGTCCAACTGCTGCAACTCCTGCCGCTCCCGCTCCAACCGCTCCTGCTCCTCGCGCGCACGCCAGCATGCCGCCTGGTAACGCGTGTCGTGGCGGTGGGGAGGCGGCTCCACAGACGTAGTGCCCCTAGCTCCAGTCGCCTCAGAACTAGCACCCCCAGAACCAGTGCCCCTTAGAGGGGTACCAACAGGGTCAGGGTCCCCAGCTCTAGCGCCCCCTGTCATAGCACCCCCAGTGCCAGGACCTCCAACTCCAGCACCCCCAGAACTAGCACCTCCCGTGCCAGCACCTCCAGCTCCAGCACCCCCAAAACTAGCACCTTTAGTGCCAGCACCTCCAGCTCCAGCACCCCTCGAACGAGCACCCTCAGACCGAGTACCGCCAGTGGCTGCACCTCCAGCTCCAACACCAACCGAGTCCACAGTAACCTGTCGCGGAAGTGCCGAAGGTTGCTGAGGGGACTGTGAGGAGGACTGCGGGGAGGGAGACACTACCTGACGCGCGACCGAGGGTAGAGGGGTAGCGTGAGACACACCTGACGGGGCAGGACCAGGGGGGGGTGGGGGTACCGGAGGAGCGGGAGCAGGGGGAAGAGAGGGTGCGAGTAAAAGGGGGAGAGGGGGAACCGGGAGACCTCTACAGGGGTACCGGGTGTAGTAGGACACTGACTCGTCGAACCGGGCGTCACGGGAGTCTAGGAACTGGTGGAGGGCCGGGTGGTAAAAGGACCAGTCGGCCGAGGCTACCGAGAAACCAAGGAAGACACAGGGGACAGCGCGAGCCGAGAGCTTGTCCGCAGAGGTGTCGCGGACAAGCGCAAGGCAGCCCAAGACACGAAAGGCTGACCCAACACCAGGGGACCCGGTCCAAAGACTGGTCGATGAAGCCTCTGGCCGCGAGACGCGCGGCTGGAGGTTCAGCTGGTGAGCAGCGTAGCGAACCGCGTAGGGCCACAGAAAATGGGGTGCACAGGCATGAA